ATGGTCTTCTAGCCTATGAGGTCAGGGCAGCTGAAGACATCTTCACTCACTGTCTGGAGCTCTTTCCTTATTCCCAGAAGTAAAGGGGTTCTTGAAAAGCCATCAGGAAAGTAGAACAAAAGCTAGGGGTAGAAATTGGTACCAGACAGCGAAAAACTAATTTTTATGACCAGAGACATGAGACATCTACTGTCAAAGCTCCAAAGTCAATGGTGGTTTTGCATTCTGAGGCACCACCAGGCTTTTTGAAAGTTGTTAAGACTGTTTTTCTAAATATGTCTAACTGAGAGAGACAAACGAGCCTGCAATACCTAAAAGATACCAAGTTGAAGATCTATATTAGTGTTGTTATCACCAGCTCAAGAGAGCTGCAGGTGTAATGGGATACAACTCCCCTCCAACCATCCCACACACACGCACCCCTCTCCTTTTAAAGGAGGGGGGTAGGAGATAAAGATACTGTTCAAAGGCTTTTAGGCAGAGTTCTTTTAAAAGTAAAAAGGATAAATACCTCAAGAACACAAGGTATAAGTTAAAAGCTTAATTTAATCCCCTTGCCCTGTCTGCTCGGTCCCATGCCACAGCACAACTGATGGGTTTAGAGCACACGTCTCAGCCACCTCCTGTGTCCATCTTCAACTAGCCTGGCCAACCCTCACAACTTACCATAACACACAGCAGCTCAGATGTCAAGAGTAAGATCTCACCAACAGTTAGTCACCTTATCTTCCTCTGAGAGCCAGTAAACTTTATTATTCAGTTAGTAAACTGTTCCATTTAACCGGTTCTGTTTTACTAGCGCTGCGGTAAGAGATCATACACTGACTTCTATTCAGTTTATATTATTTAGAAAATAGACACATATGCACTTAAAGGTGGTTTTAATATAGAAAGACATAATAAGATGTTCAGTACCCAGTAGTCACACAAGAACAAAAGGCAAAAGTCATCACATATTTATGCAGGAAAGATAAAAAAACGATATTAAGAAACATTTACCTCACTCATGATAGTCCCGTGCCAGGGACATAATAGTACAAACATATCCATTAATTTGTCTCATGGAGTTTTCAGCTGATGGAAAACTTATTTCAGAATTAAAGCTTCTAGTGATACAAGAGCTTGCAGTGCACATTCACCTAAACACTGCACATCATGCACTTTAAGTAGCACAGAAAAGTTCTGAAACTGTGTGAATACTCAGGTTGAGAGCAAAATATGGACTAACTTCCTTCTGAAGTTGATGCAAAACACACTAATCAAGACAAGTTACCTCATGAAAATGTCAGGAGAGGGAATATATAAAAATATGCATCGAGGCATACTTTGTTTTTAAAGGTTCATGACATTACAGTTACAAATTTTCTTCTTACTCAGTCCTTCTAATAATTTCTTGCACCTTTTTCACTTTTATATCTTCACTAATAGAATTTAAGAAGTTCCACTTTTTACTTCATCATCCCATCTGTGTTATGTCTCATGAAAATTACAAAGAAGGCAACTGTCTGAAGAATTTATTCATGGAGTGCAAACATCCAAGAAAATTTTTAAAGCTTGAAGCAGACTTACTCTACAAAGGCCAAAATTTGAAAAGAAATTAAGATTTAACTGTCTAAAATCCAGGGTAAAGAAGTGCAGTTCTCATGGAAGTTTTCTAACAAGTTAATCAGTAAGTTATACCATTAAGCAAGAAAATTTAGTTTTCTATATTCAACTAACATAATGCAACCAATATTTTATTTTTTAGGTAACCAAAGTCAGAACACTTGCATTCATAAGTTACTATTAATACATTTTGTCCTTCCAGGTTCAAAGCTGTGCTAGGCAATGTTTCTGGAGTTTAATATGGTTCAGCCAGAAAGTAGTCTGCTTGTTGCTGAAATAAGGCTGTGAGCCTAGGATTAAGATTCTTTCATTCTACTCCACCACCCTCCTTTCAAGAGAATATTAAAGACTAGTTCAAATAAGTTGCCTGCCCACTTCCACTGTGTATTAGTTAACACTTTGAATCAAACTAAAATTTAATGCTATGGTTTGATGAGCTGACATAAATAGCGCCAACCATGTTGCACACGTACGATTTGTTATCCATGGGCATACTGCAGCAATTTAGTTTATTTTTATTTATATACATAACAACTACACGTTAAGAGACATCAAGAGGGCTAAGGGAACATAAAATAGTACCAAACAGCTCGAGGTACAATGTTGCTGTTCAGAGACTATCAACACAACACTGCTGTCTTCAACTACCTGAAGGGAACACACAGACTCTCTGAGGTCCGTGTGGTAGGACACGAGGCAAGAGACTGAAGTTGCAAGAAGAAAAATTCCAATTCAATATTGGGAAAGAAGTTGCACAATGAGGGTAATTAACATTGTAGCAAGTTACCCAAAGAGACCAGAAGTGTTTATCCAAAACTCAACTGCACAAATCGTGAACAAGATGATGTGAGTGGGTTGGGCCAGATGACTTCCACTGGTTCTTTCCAACTCAAAATTATTTTGATTTTGCAACATTTGCTCAATGCCCATTTCATAGATCAACTGATTGTGGTGGGAAAGGATGCTGCCCTTGATTTAATCCGAATTGGTATGTTCAAAAATGTGACTGCCAAAGACCCTCTCTAACAGTACAATGGCATTGGACTAAACATTTCTGTAGAGCAATAAGATCCAAGAACTCCACCACAGCTGTGTTCAGCTTCAAAAGAAGATGGTAAAAAGAAGCGAGGATGCTAAAGAGATGCAAAATTAGCATTAAGAAGTATCAGATCCTTACAGGTAGCATACAGAGAAAGTAAAGACGCCATACAGATAAAGCAGGGAGTAAGTAATGCTTGAAAGAGCAAAAGAAAATGAGAAGAACTACAAGAATACTGGAAACCAGAAAGGCAGCCTTCCCAAAGTTGATGTGGTACTCGAATGGACATGGCCACATAGGATTGTTAATTTGTGAAAATAAGGCACCCCCTTACAATTTACAGATAAAATAATTTAAAAAAATGTTTTCTTTCTTCAAAATGCATAGAGAGGAACACATAGGACCAAAAGATGAGAGCACAGAAGGATCATCTGGAAAATATACACAGAACAGTGATTTCTTTGCAACTGTTCTGTTTCGCCTTCTAATCCTTGTAGAAAACTGAAGCCTTAACTCTTGCAGACTCCCAGGGTCTCTCTGAAATTGAAAGAATTTGAAGGTATAGAACAGAGGAGGGTGGAACCAGAACTAAGGTCCTGGGGCATGTTTTGATATGGTTGAAATCCTCAACACAGTAACAATGATATACAACCACTCACTTGAAACAAAACTGAATGTACAGTATTTTGGTACCAAAGAGAAGAGTGGTAATCATGATGCAACTTCCAAGGGAACTTCATGAAAGATCTCACCAGTAGGCCTGTAAGCCTTATGTCTTCATCAAGCAAGTTAAGAGAAGAAGGTAGCACCAAATGAGTATAACATAAATTAGAAGCAGAATCAAAGAGAAGAAATATTAGAGAAGAAAAGAGCAACAATATGGAGGGAAGTCCCAACTCATAGACCTAGTAGAATTTTCTGAAGGAAGCAACAAGCACAGGTATCATGTAGCTGATACCGTTTGTGTGAATACTCAGAAGTATTATAACAAAAATACTAAAAGCTTTCAATGAAGTTAACCGGTCACATGTGAGACAAAAGATCCTTTAATGGACAGTAACTTGTAAAGAGACAGTAAGCAGAAGATAGGAAGAACAGTCAGTTCTTACTCACTGGAATATGCTGGGCAGTGCTGTTTCACAGATATCTGTGCCCTTTGTTACATCCATTCATAAATGACTTGAAAGTTAGCTCATAAAATTTAGGTTGGCCATCATTATTACAACCACAAACATTTGCAAAAGGACTTTACAGAACTGAGACAATAAATTTGCAGATTAAACTCAGTAGAAATAGGCAATACATACATGAATACAACAATATGAACTGACAAGTTCTGAGCTCATTAATGATGAAAGAGTAAGATAGTGGGGTAACAGTATATAGTTTCATGATATAGAGAAAAGGAAGTGAACACAAAACAGTATACCACTGTAAAAATCTGGAGTACATTCACACCTTGACTTTCATGTGAAGTTTTGCCCTGTCTCCCACTCTCTCCCCTCCACCTCAAATTGTGATGAAGAGAAGGTCTGGAAGTCTATCCCCTTTCAGTTTGATTTGATATTAGGGTTGTGTTGGAGCTAAATGGGACGATGGGATTTACTGAAAGAGCGTAAGTTGTAAACTCTTGGGTGCAGGACACACACATATAGGGACAGCTAATGGTATGACACTGGAACTATACTGGGGGACCATGCAGGGTAGAAGATGCCAATCCTAATGAAAACTCATTCATACTTTATCCCAGAAATGGTCTCAGATTCACCTATCCCCAAAACTATGCCCAATCCAGTGAGCATATTAATAGGTAAGCAGTCACAAACTATCAGGTCTAGTACTTCAGCTTGTTTCCCATTCCAACTTTACTTAGCAGCACACATTCCAAACTTATATATCTACCCTGTTTTTAATACTCTAACACTCTGAGATACCTGTGTTTAGCTACAGCACTCCCTTCACAGTCAGAATAGAAGTCACCACAGACATAGTCATATTCCCTCCCTTCACTAGGTACCAGGACAGGAAGAAACATGTTTTAGTTTCAGCTCTAGAATGTGTGGCGTTCCCTAAGAGATAATTTCTCCCTCAGGAATCTCCTGCCCAACTGCACCTAACAGGTACATCTTTCTAACAGGTACAGTGTCTTTTATACATAGAGGGCAGCAATTCCCTCTCAGCTTAGTTGCCAGCCTGTCCCAACATAACTCAGAAGAAACTTGCAAGGAGTCTCGAGTAGGAAATCCTGCAAAGAGGCATGATCTCCCATGTCAGGATACAAGGTTAGAAAGAACATGGCACAGCTTTTGATCATCTTTCTGAACTGCTTGCTAGAAGTTGGCAAATCTTTGCTTACCTGAATGAAAGCAGCACCCTCTACTGCTGCCTTCAGGTCTGTACAAACGCTAATGAGAGCAAACTGCTGTTCCGCACTAGAAGATCCTTTCAGGAATCCCGACTTCTCCATCTCTTTCATTTGTTTGCTGACAGAAACAACATAGACACATTTCAATACTTTATAATTGTTATGCCACCATTAATTTTTTAAAAAGCTTCTTAACAAACCAGTAGTACTATGCTATTTGCAATGCTACTGCATATATTCATACTCAAAAATATAAAAGTTAATTTCAGTGGCTTCTCTTTGTTCCCCCTTTTATAAGGTTTTCTTTTCCTTCTCTTCAAGTAGAGGCAGCTCTAAGATCTACTCCTAGATGCAGGATTGCCTCTTTGTAGGAACAGCTCTTTAACTGTATAGAAATAAATAAATACATTCCATAGAGCCAGGAGTCCTTCCTAAAAAACTTGTATCACTACAAGGGGTTTTTTTAATATGTAACTAACAGAGCAAATGTCAAAAAATTCAAGTACTTCTTAAATTGAGTGGCCAAAGCGTGAAATGAATGTTTGAGTACACACCACTACAAGGGCTTTTACCTTCACTTTTACACACACTGCGTTTACCTTCTCAGTAAAAGTCTCTACAGTCTGAAGCCCTCAAACATCCAGAGCAAGCAAGCCATTTTTCAAAACCATTATAAGTCACTTAGAGGAACAATTTCCACAGAAATTAAGTGGGATTAAACTGTCTGATTGCAATCAACCTAAAGGTCTTTGCTGTAGTCATTATCATGCTTAAATCTGTTCAGTTACCTCAAGCCAGAATTCTTCGGAGCCTTTGGTTATTATTCAGCAAAAACTGCTCATCCTGAATACAGGAGAAAATTGAACTAATGAATAGTGGCAGGGAAAAAAACCCCTTTATTCTCCCTACCAACCCAGTTTTGAAGCATTGGCTTCTTTTTGGATGCCTTTTTACATGATAAATAAACTGCCCTTCCTACTCAGTTAGAGGGTAGAAAAGCTGTAGTGATTAAAAAAACTGTATAGAAAAAGTGTATTTTTGTACTACACAAATCATAAGTGAATATAGAAATAACCAGTGATCCATCATGTGTTTCTTAAGTGACCATGGCACTGAAGCACACATGACAGTCTTCATTAGAGGCTTTACAGGATAGAACACATTAAATGGGCAGAACTTAGTCATATCGGCCCAGACAATCTCCACTCCCAGTCACACCTCAGACCTTAATACACCTGCCCAGTCCCCTCCAAGTGTCCAGACAGTAACACTGAATTTACTTTTGTACCTAGAGACCTCAGAGGAGATACATGTTTGTCACAATCTACAGCAGCCAGAGACAGACACTGTTCTTGTGAAGCAGGACAGGCACCCAGTCCCAGGGTCAGAATATCATCAGCCCCAGGCTACTTCTCCAGTCCAGCTCCTGCACTTACACCCTGGGGCAGACCTTCCTCACCCCCTGCCAATGACACCACTGCAGCCACCAGCAATCTTAAACACACAGAGAGTGATCCCAACTGGATCCCAGATCTCAGTTGCTTTATGAAGCTGTGGGAGGTGTTGTCTACACTTTTCAAGCAGCATTTAAGTGAATTGAGAAGGGAGAGGACTTAGATCACACCGCCTCTTTTTCTCTCTACACCTTTCAGACCACCGGCTGAGCAATGTGTGATAATGCACTCACGCTTTGTCAAACCATTCTTTTATTTAGAAATCTTTCCTCTCAACAAGTATTGTTGACATAGATCAAATAAAAATATTAAGCTTCCTTCTCCAGACGGTCCTAAACAAAATGAGTGCGATTCATCTCACCTACTCTGACAAAATGCACACCTGAGACAACCATCTTCAGGTCTCTTTTACAGAAGGAACAACTGTTTCAGGTGCATTTGTCTGATCTTTTTTAGACATCCAAGTAGGCAATCCATCTTGTCTTACATTGGAAGTACCTATTTTCCACCTCAAGAAAATATAGTTCAGAATGAGAATTTAGACTATAGTATTCTGAAGTCAAGGATGAAAGTTTGCTGGGATTTATTTAAAGGCAATCCAGTTCCTACTTAACTATACAGAAGCAAGTCACATCTCAGCCAAGATTCACTGAGCCCTCAGATCTTTAGCTTCAGTGAACTGGCTCACTGTATCTACCAATAAATTCCAAAGAATCAGAATTTTACTTCAGCATCCATGTCATTGTGCTGTATCCAAGAAAATGGAGCAAATACAGGCTCTACTAGTTTTATCATGGCTTTATTAAGAGGTTATAAACACCTGCAGCTCTGCAAGTTATTCTGATATCCTTTCTCCCACACCAAGTATCAGAAAAGAGAACATTTGTTTCCCAGCAAACAAAATAGCTTTGCAGCAATATGTTATCCTGGGAGCGGCCCCACTAAAAATCACATACCTTCAAATCACTATGGACTTTGTACATTAAAATCAAAGCATTTCAAATAACTTGGGAGCAGGTAACGTTCTGTTTAACGTTCTGTTGAAGTGCACCTTACAAACCAGAATATACATCTATATTCCAGATTGGAAAGAACAAAACCACCACTACCAAATATCCACATCCATGCACACACACAGTGCTAACTCGTACCAGCATTAACTTTCTCCTCTTCAATGAATCTCTTCAGCAATTAACTCCAACTAATCATTTCCGTACTGCAAGTTCTAATACTTCCTCTTTATTTTTGTCGTGGATGATCATGGACAATGAATTTTTACTCTTTTAGGCAGAGCATACCTCAGTAAACCATTAGACATTGCATTTTGTTTAGATTGGACAAGAGCTTTGAAAAGGTTCAATTAATTCTTAACTGGAAAACTAAGCCAAGAGTCATATGCTTTTTAGACACTGCTCAGGTCTGTCCTGTTTGCTTCCCTGAAGTCCCTTAGACTTGGCACTAAAATTATTTTCACCAATTTATGCAGTCCAAAAGTGATGAAGAGTTCCATAAATATCTTTCTGCCTCTTTTCTCAAACACAGGTATAGACTCAAAAACCTAGACCTTTCCTACCCAAAGCTAAAGTAGTCAGAAATTCCTTTTCATAAGTTTTGTTTAAGAGCACTTCAAGGTAGAAAAAGAATATTAATAAAATGTGCTCAAGCACACACCCCTCCCTAGGCAAAGCCACAGAAATCAGCAGGAAAACCATCAAGTGTCTGGAGGAATTCGCCATTTAGTTTCTTACTGACACAGCAAATGAATGGCTGAAAAGCACAGACTTCTACCTCTTAAGTAATTTGCATGGCAAGGAATAGGAAGCAGGAATATTCCGCTCCATTTCCCAAGGTCACAGGGTATATACACCACAGCTTGCTAGGCAGAAACTTCACCCAACACTTAAGATTTCTAGCACACCAAACGTGCCAGTGCTTCATCTGAAAAGAAATGGTGCACTTAAGCCAGAGTATCCGAACTCCTCACAAGGCTACTTCACACCTTGTGAGGCAAGATAAGGAGCCAGTAATTCAAGTCTTAACTATTCATTTGTCAGAAGCCCATTTTCCAGTTGCTCTTGCCCAAATCCAGCATACTCTTGTTCACAGGCTATATATATTGCTTAAAAAAACTCCCACACCAAAACCCAAGAAAACCCAACCAAACAAACTTAAGTTTGAAGAAACCACTACAGAATTATTTCCTTCTTTGAAGAAGGGGGTCAAGTTCTTATTCAGCATCTATGCAACACATTTGTCTCATCCTCCCTGGTTCTCCACAGTAACAGTACATGATTGGTAACCCTCGATTCAAAAAAGCTAGTCATAGACTAAGAGACCAAGCTTTTATTTTTCTTCCTCAAGCTCTCACAGAAGTTTGTAGCACCTGTCTCCTGTTCCATATCTTTCCTTCTCTGCCAGTGATAACCATCCTGTCATTTCTCCTTCTCTGTCATAAGCCATTACACACTACGCTGTGCACTGATAACATTTCTTAATTGATCTGCAAAACCACCATCTTTATCTTTTGCAACTTAAGACTGGATTTTTGTTTATTCCTCAACAAAAATCTCCCTCTTAATATCACCAATCTTCATGTTAGCTATTTATTTAAATTAGTATAGTTATTGGGAATATGTGCTTTACTTTAATTTTGGCTTTCCTTCCCAGTAAACGCTCTTCTTTGGCACCCTTTGACAATATACTTATTGACATTTTGGTTGTTTTGTTTCACAAATGAATTTTAAGTCTTCCAAATGCTAAACCTACGCTATTAGATTGCCACAAAAGTGAGGGAAAAGGAAGAAAGTGTTCCCTGATACTTATACATTAAGGCAGAAACCAGACCAGTTTGTACATACAAGAGTACACCACTGACCTCTAGTGGATGGCTTTTTATTCAAGGGCTCGTCCCTAGGATGACCAGAGACTGAGGTCATTGCAGCCATGTCCTTAGCACACAGCACAAGACTTCACTCTGTTGCAATTGGCTACCTGAAAGCATTAGCAACCACTTTCCTCTTCCTGCTTTTCCCAAAGGCAAACACACGACACATCACCATGGAAAAGTCATCACACATGAAGTCTTCTTGAAACAGCAGTACAAGCTGATTCACTAAAGTATGTATGTTTATGTCCAGACAAGAGAGATCCAGAGCTGTCAAATGCACTTCACCTATAGCAACAGCAGTATACTAAAGAGGGACAGATGCACACCTGCCTTTGACACAGTTTTGAAGAGGCACAAAGCAAAGGACTACAGAGGAGCTGGGACGCACCATAAGAGTGTGTTGATGCACAAAACCAATCAAAGTTCTGAGATGTCCTCAAGCTATCACACACACAAACTGTTTTCCAGCCACAGTACTCACAGGATGTCTACACTGGCACTTCACGAACTGGATGCTGCAACGAGAGCAAAGACTTGGTAACAGGAAAAGCAACTGCAGTCACCGTGTTTTTCCACAGTAAACACAATGTCATGAATACTGGAGAGTCTGATCAGAGTTTGCAACTCATTACAAGTCACTTCTTGCTCTCTGAATATCAATCCTAATGCTGTCTCCAAATCTACTGACCTAAGTAAGTTCACTTGTTAATGCACCTAACGAGTTAGGGCATCTAACCTTTTTGGCATCTTGGCATCAGAACTGACAAGTTCATGCTGAGAAACCTTCCTGCTAAATACATTGTAATACTAAAACAAAATAAACCACAAAAGCCTCTAAGCCTAAAAACTTCCCCAAAAGTATTAGCTATTTGGAGGGAAAAAGGAAAGCAAATCACAGCAACTCCAGAAAAACAGTCATCAGCTGGCTTTGTCAGACAGCTCCAAGGGGAGCTGCTGTTCTCCTGTGAGCCCTCATTTCCTACTGAAGCTCCAGCTCTCACGGAGGTAGCACATCAGTAACCCAGTGTGATTTGCTGCAGGTTGTGTGCTATGAAATCAGTGCAAAGAAGGTCAAGTTTGACCATATTCTGATAGATGCAATCATTAAAATAGTGGTCGAAGAAACTCCATAGCTTGTATTCTTATCACAAAAACTATGTTGTCCTGAGACCAGGTTTTTTAACTAGAATGTTACAACAGCCAGTGTACATAAGTTAATTATAAATTGAGTTAAGAACACCTTATGTAAAAGGTACAACCTGCCTTGAACTCAGTTGAACTTGTCTTTAACTTATCAATGACTTAGATGAAGGGGCAGATGCCTCCACAGAGTTCACTGATGACACAAAGCTGGGAGTAGTGACCAACACCCCAGAGTGCTGTGCTGCCCTTCAGAAGGACCTCAGTAGACTAGAGAAATGGGCAGAGTGGAAGTTCAACAAAGGCAAATGCAGGGTCCTGCATCTGGGGAGGAATATCCCTATGCACCAGTAACAGGCTAGGGGCTGACCTGATGGAAAGCATCTCTGTGGAAAAGGACCTGTGGGTCCTGGTGGACAACAAGCTGTCCATGAGCCAGCAGAGTGCCCAGGCTCCTCAGCACCAGAGAGACACAGAGCTCCTGGAACAGGTCCAGTGGAGGGTGACAAAGGTGATTAAGGGAGTGGAGCATGTCTCTTACAGGGAAACACTGAGGGAGTTGGGCCTGTTCAGCCTCAAGAAGAGACAACAGAGGGGACCTAAAGAATGTCTATAAGTATCTGAAAGGAGGGTGTCATGAGGATGGAGCCAGGCTCTTCTCAGTGTGCCAAGCAATATGATGAGAGGCAATGGGCAGAAACTGGAATACAAGAAGTTCCACCTGAACATGAGGGAGCACTTCTTCGCTGTCAGGGTGACTAAGCACTGGAACAGGTTGTCCAGACAGGTTGCAGCATCTCCTTCCCTAGAGATATTCAAAAGCTGTCTGGATGTAACATGCTCTAGGGAACCCTGCTTGAGCAGGGAGGCTAGGCTATACGACCTCCAGTGCTCCCTTCCAACCTTACCCATTTTTGATTCTGTGAACTCCTCTAGGACAGCACACGCAGGCACAGGACAGTACAGACCCACTCAAATTGTACTCTATCCTATTATGCATGACATTTTATGCTTTACTTTTTCAAGCGGAAAACCTTGGAAGGCTAAAATCCTCATTCCATGATTTTGTTATTAGAAAAAGAAAAAATCAGGGGCAAATGCTGTCTTTAGTAACATAAAGTTTATTAAACATATTTTAGTAAAATAGTTTAGTAACACAGTTTAGTAAAACTGCCACCTCCACAATAATCCAGAATCTTATCATGGCTATCACTATGACAGCAGTTGTGAAAAAAACCAAAAGTGTCTGTCATCTAGGGATGCAACAGAGATGTTTGGTCTGACTAACATCTACCTGGAAAGAAAAAAAAAAGTGAGATAGATTTTCCTCTTCTTTTGTTATGAAGCCTTTTTTAGGAAATCTCACTAGATATCACATACTGCTTCGCTTTTGAACTCCATCAACTGAACTGACCTAGAAGGGGCTCCTGAAGTCATTTCTGTTAGCTTTAAGCCTTGTTACAGAAAAAAATGAGGATGCAACACACCACAACCCTTTTTTAGGTGCACCTTACACTCCATACCAGCTGACACGTCACTCCAACGCATCACAAGGGAGAGTTGATGCATTTAGGTTGATGCTGATGGTGAAGCAATCTGAACTTTAGCATTAAATGCCAATAAAGCAATATAAGGTTGTGCACAGAACAACTCGATAAACGCACTCTCTCCCTCTCTCACATGCATATAAAAGCTGTATTTCGAGGACCAGCAAGAAGAGCGTGCATATGACCAACCAGACACTGTCCCTTCTAACATAAGAACTAGGGGTCAATCAAAGCAACCGAGGTGTCAGGTTCAAAACAAACAAAAGGGAGTAGCTCTTCATGCAGCGAGCAGTAAATCTGCAGAACACAAAGTCCTTGGGCAAGGAGGCCATGGAATGATTTACATGGGTTCAAGGGACAGTTAGAGAAATACTTAGAAGAAATCTAGTTAAGAGCTACTGAATACATTACCTAAAGAGTTACAACTTCTAGGCACTGAAGGTTGGGGACAGAGTGCAGAGAGGCAAGACTTGAACTTGTAGCTCTTGTAATATGAAAAGCATGGGACTTTAGCCACAGTGCCACAGGGTGAGAGAAAAGGGCTGGAGGACTGTTGGCCTGAACCAGTGTGAGTGATCTCATGTTCACACCCTCAAATTTGCTATCCCTCTAAAGATGCTTCCCAGCTTCAACTACAACTGATTAGTAGCTGTATCTTTGGTGAAAGTGGCAACCTGTTCTTCTAAGATTCAAAAATATTACTTTAAGAGTTTAAAAAACTCTAGTTATAAAATACTAATAACTGTAGCAGAGCTCCTCAGCAATCCATTTTAACCTACTTAAACTTTGAAAGCGTTTTTGTTGCCTTTCTATGCAAAACTTCTTATGTTTGTATATTTTAAACTTAGCCTATAGATAACCTAATGGTGGTAAGCATAATTAAACAAAAATGAATTTAAACTTAAGCTCTTGAATTACTTAAGAATTAAATTCCTCTTCACAAGTGTCAGTGACACTTGGGAACGCAGTTCTGATCTTAAAAGGACCTGTACTTCTAAATTAAAGCTTTCTTCAAAGCTTAAAATCTATGCTCCCATAATAAGATATGGCTATTCATTCATAATTACAGCAATTCCACAACTTCAATACAACCCCAGTCATTTCAAGTCAGGTGACCTACCGAATATTTTCCAGTGCGCTTGTTAGCTGCTGTTGTGCAATATCATAAAGTTTCACTTTGAAGCCTCCAGCAGCAAATACCATGGCCCAGCTGCGACCAATGAGTCCGCTGAAAAGAAAAAAAATAAATATCAGCCAATTCATAAAACACTTATTTGGGGGAAGAAGGTCTTGCAAGCACTGTAAAAAGGAAAAAAGAGCTTGGACTCTTCAATATTTGATTAAAAGATAAGTTGATATTGATAAAAAATAAATGTCTCTAACAGCTACTTGTGGGTGAACGGCAGGATTATGAAGCCTGGAAAGAACAGCTTTAGACACGGGTCCATTACAGCGGCAGCTTCCCGGGACCAAGTGAAGCAGAAAAACAACAACTACTTGCGTTTTCTATTGTACGGGTTCTCCCTGAGTTGTATAATTTCCCCAATCCACACGGCCCCATTCGGAACCATGTTGTCTCCCCTTTCCGACCGCGGACTCCGCCTCTGCATAAGCAGGATAGGCTGCCAAGTCACAGGCCCTCAGCAATTCGGAAAGTACCATAAGCACATGAAACGGGAAAAAAACCTCACCTAACCATGGGTTTGATACTACTTTTCCATTTAGCCACCTCTAGCACTACCTTTATTTTTAGATGAAGCACTTTAACACACCGGATACACACAGGAACAGCCTGCCTACATCTTTTGGTGAAAACACATTACTGAGCACTACATAGAGGAAACTTGTAGTAACTGACAATTTTATCATGTCTCTTGAAGCAATGCAGGTTTTAATGTAGTTAGATGTATAGCAGGCATCAGCCTTTTCAAATGGAAGCCCCAAATCATGGTGTCACAAGCTTAAGTAACCTGAGATCACAAAAAATTTTTAAAAATTAAAAAAAAAAATCCATAATAGAGATAAGATCAGAATTCCATACCCATGACTGTTACAGTGGGGTTTTTGATAATTACATGCATTTCCTGTCATTTGCAAGATCAGCTTATTTGCAGCATTAAACTTAAGTGATCTCTGGCAACTGGAAAATGTAAGGCCCCTAGGGCATCAATAAAAGATTAAAACGGGAACAAAAGTCAAAGATAAAGCAGCAGGACAGATGAGAAAAGAAGGAAGAGAAAACAAGAACATGTTCAGCCTTTGGTTTAAGTATATATTTTTAAAAAAGATCAAAACAGGAAGCTTCAGGAAATAGCAAGAGTAAGTGGAAATAATTGGGACCAAAAAAAAAAAAAGTCAAGCTTTGCATTTAGTCTTGTTAAACAGACAGTAAAGTCTCACTAAAAACCTATCATTTAAAAGTAAAAATACAGAACTTCATTGTAGTAAGTCCAGACTTCATCAGTTCTCAGGCAAGGTTCAGAACAGACTTATGGAACAGGTAAGGTATGGTCAAGGTTTGTAAGCTACTGAAGTCTCCTGGCTAACAAGTATTTATAAAATTTGGATCACTTAAACCTTAAACAAGTAAATTCGAGCTGCCAGTATCTTTATAAACTTGCATCATCTCTCTAGATTGCACTCTTAAATTAAGTTTCCTTAAAACGGTGTTTGACAAACAACAGAAAAAAAAAGTTTATTTTAATACAGGTTTTTAGGATCGTGGGCTTTTTTTCTTTTGAATTACAGTGAACACAAATCAATGGTAGGTATCAGTCCTGCACTCTTACATCATTGTACACAACAGTATCATTACAACCTGATGTTAGCATATTTGACCCCAAGACAGTGCTTTTTGAAACTTTAAGTACTGTCATTTTGAGTCCAGTGACAGACAGTCTTAAGGACCAGATTTGCTCACATAACTTCTGTGGGTGCTACCAGAAACACATTTTCTGCCTTCAGTGCAACAGTGCCACAGTGAGCAAGAGCCCAGCTTTCCCAACCCTTCACACACACTCACAGGGAATAAAAGTTTACGAAGTGCCAACAGTAAGAGCCACTTTTGTCAGTGTCACACAACAGCACCAAGACTCATGTCTTGAGGCTTCAAGTGGTCTTGCTAGTGAAGCTTGCTGCAGCCCACACTTCTACACCAAGGTACAGCGGACTGCTACTGTCTGGCATGTGTTTTCTCTCTCCTCCAGATCATCGTTCAAGTAAAGAACTTCAGGTTCAGCTCACAATGAGAGGATGAAACAATGCATTCCCACACAAGCCAGAAATATTGCTGTATCTTGTGGCAATTACTTCAGGAGCGTCTTAGAGGAACTTAGAAGTTTCTTGACACAGTTGACAAACAGGACGTTAAAGCTGCGCTTGGATTTCTCCACTCCCCTTGCACTTATGCACACAAAGCATTGCAATAAAAAAGGTCACCAGTCTTTCACACCTAAAGGATGACTTACTTCGGTAGAGATGCTATGTATGTTTTTTTGCTGTTTGTTTTATAGTAGCATGGGGCTGTCAGGGCATTAAACAAAGGCACTCTAAGGAGTTCAACAGGTGCATCCCCGCCTGGTTCCCGAGAGAGAGATCCAGGAGCAGTACGACCCCGCAGCTGGCCAACACCCACCGACTGCCCCGACCCAGCACCTCGCCGACACATCCGATGCCGGCAGCAGCGATGACATCTGAGGCAGGGCCGTACCCGCCACTGAGTCCCCAAACCCACCACCCCGCAGGCCGCGCCGTGCCGGGACGGCGTCCGAGCCCCGTCGCACGCCGCGGGCATCCGTCCCCAAAGGCGGCGAGCGCTGCCGGGCGCTTCCCCCACCTGTGAGAGAGGAGAGGCGTTACCTGCCGATGATGGCAACCTGCGAGTGCTCCATGGCTGGGACCGGGAGATGCGGGATTGGCAGCAGGACGCGCTGCCGGCACCGCGCCGCCAGGGACACCTCTGCCCTGCGCGCGCCCGCCCCACCCCGCCGCGCGCCAGGTCACGGCCGCCCATTGGCCCCGCGCGCCGCGGCCCCGCCCAGGGGCGGGGCGGGGCCGGGCACAGCTCCCGCCTCCAGCACCCGAGTCCCGCCCCCGCCCCCCCACGGGCACGGAGAGCCCCCACCGCCAGCTCTAATCTGAGCCAAGACCAGCTCACCTCTTCCCCCTTCAGAGGCCAGCGGCAGTACTAGAGTGCATCCAACCCCATTGCTTTTGACAAAGGCACAAATTAATTTCAAAGTTCAAATTTGAAAGCAATTCCATGCTTTTTTCACATTGAGCAAGGCTTTATTATACTTAAAAATGCTTCATCCTCTAATTCTGAATTAATTTTCTCTTTTGCTGTCCTTGATTTTCACACAAAATCTTTTTAAAGTTGTGCCAAAATGTGACATTACAATGTCAACTCTTCAAGCTGCTCTGTAACATGTACTGTTTGTGTTGGCATGCTCACCATTACTCACTTTTTCCAGTTTGGCGTACCTACTCATCTGCATATTGCTCTGTAATCATGCCAGATGTTCCTGAAAAGAAACAAAATTTAGCATTTTAAATGCCTGTTTATTATCAAAGATTACATCACTGTACACTTAATATAGCTGAGAGATACTTGCAAGTTCTCCTGTGTTTCTGGCTTTCTGAAAAAACAAAAAAACCAGTTGAAATTTAATACATTCATTCCCAGAATAAAGGTTTGATAGTTACTGATGAAGCTCAGTGAACCTTTGGCTATCATTTCTTCTAGTTTACAAGAAAAAAAATTAAAGGCCCACATAATCATTTGGTACATCTGTCCCCCTCACTGGCACTTTGCTAATTCCAATCACATTCAAAAAGGAGACAGATCTCAAAAGTATAAATTCCTAAAGGCTTCATGAATACCACTCAACAGGTAGCAGGTGGAAAACCAAGCTATCTCTGACTTCATGACCTTAACATCATCCACGTAAGCTGACATGCCAGTAGCTGGGAAGTGTTAGTGGAGCGAAGTGGATGTAATTGGGCCATGGACGATTTAGGGCAGTGGGACAGAAGACTGCAGGATGCTGTGCCAGTTCTGCTGCTCAGGGTTTGCGTAGAAAAGTGAAGAAAGCAGTGGTTTATGATTTTAGCAAGTACCAATTTTGTTCCTTTGAAGACGAATTCAAAATGCATGACTTGGCACATGTTCTAAACACAAAGATCTTTGTCTAGCCAATCAATGTATATTTATTTTGCGAACTCAAGTTTTTACTGCAAAAAAAAAATTAAGTTCCTAAAACATAAAACTAATGTCTCCTGGGCTTTGGAAACATAGTTTCTAGAACAACTTCACCATCACTCCCAATTGGAAGTACTTAGCAATTATTTTAATACTCTTTGACCTCCTGAGATGTGTATTATACTTCAAGGTGTTGTTAGCAAGAGACTATAAGAGACAAAAGCCATTACAGATAGACAAATGGATTCAGGAGTATTACCACAGGGGTTTGAGAGCTAATCACAGTCATGATAAAAGCAATTACAGGACCTTAAAGTTCTGGGGGTGACCAAAACAAATATGTGGAAATGAATTCTGAATTATATTATTATTATTATTATTATTATTAATTTATTAGTGACAAAGCCACATGCATTACTTAATCATAATTAGGGTATGACAGGACAGCAAGCATATTCCTCATTGTTTACAGTGATGAGACACACTGATAAGTCCAAACTGAATAGATCAAAAGAGGAGAGAGAAGTTTGCAAGAAGAAAAGAAAATAAAAATAATTAAATTATCAGAAGTGAAAGTCAAAGGAAGAAAATATGACTTAAAAACAAAGTGCAAGTTTCCTTCCTGTGTAACAACATAAGAGGTTTAGGCCCACTACTTGCAGCCTCCACAAATAAGGGACAATGATTCTCCTCCTTCTTCTGCAACTCACATGGGAAGGAGAAAAGCTGCCCTAAGCCCAGAAACAGCAAAGAAAGGAGGTGGGCTGCACTAGGGAATGAAAAGTAGGGCTTGTCCTGCCAGTGGGAGGGGCCCAGGTGGAGCAAACATGCACTCTCCAGCGTATTCTTTCTTCTAAGCCCAATAGCAGTAGGAGCAGATTTGACTTGTGTTGGGAACTGCATAGTTAATCTCTCCATGTTTTTAGTCTCCCTGCTCCTCATGTGTGGAGCTGAAATCTGCTACTGGCCATGGACAGGTGGGTTTACTGCAAGGGAGTAGCAGGTTGGTATAAAAGGGTCATGTAACAAGCAAGGGGAAATAACTCACATTAACTGGGAGCCACACAGGGGCAGAATACAAAGGAGATATGAATTTCCCTCTGGAGAAAATAAAGGAATTGTATGCTTTTAAGATACAGAGGGTTCTAGACTGAGCTTTTGGCATGGGATGAAAAGAGAGGCATAGTTCACATTTGTTAAGTATTAGGTCTGTTTAATACATTACTTGCTCACCAGAGCAACCAGAAAGTACATTTGTTTGGTAATGGACTATGGCACGTTGCTACTATGATCCTAATGGTTTGGAAAACATAATGCCTTAAAAATTATAGCTTTAATTAATAACTTTATTGCTATTTTGTAGAGTTCTAACTAACGGTTTGCATACTGTAGTTATGACTAGTGATTATACTGAAATTACACTACAATTAAAACTATAATTTTAATTATCTTAGTAGTTTGTGCTGTTAATTTAGGTGGTCCTTTACAGTGCAAATGGTCTGATGCAAATACTCCCAATAGTGCTAAAATGCTGATTCTTAATGAAGCAATCTGCAGGAATTGGAAATTAAATAGTAGTAAAAAAGATATTACAAAAGATTCAGAAAAACTAGATAGAATTATATCCTTCAATAGTAGAAATACCTGTTAACAAGATAATTTTCCTGCTGCAAATGTATTTGAAAACCAAACTACAACATACGGTGGGACATATAAAAGCATGTGGTGTGATTCTTGGGGTGGTCCCATGCCAGGGCCAGGAGTTGGACTTCAATGATCCCTGTGGGTCCCTTTCAACTCATCATATTCTATGACTCTATATACCTTACCTGTAACATATGTTTTATTCATAATGAGGTTCTTCGATTAATTTTGTTTTCAAATTGTACATAAATTGATTTGTTTACTTGCTTTACTAAATACAGACTATATAGTAAATTGATGTTTAGAACAGAACTATACTGAATATTTTCTGCCTTTAGAACTGTTCTGAAGTAGCTCTTTTAAAACTTTTCAATATAAATCTATAAAATATTTTTACATAATTAATTCCTCATTAAGAACCTAACCCTGAAAACATTCTGATGTGGTACTTATCATTGCATCAATAGTAGCTCTATACACTTTATTTTCTACCTTTAATTATCTTACTGTAATTTATATATGTTTATGGACAGAAATTTGGAGATCATAAATACAAAATGGATGTTTAAATCTCCTTCAAGAGACAGAAGGCTTCTTTAACATACTGTTTCTATTTTAGGAAACATTAACTGAAAGAAATTGATGTTAAAAAGTGCTACAGAGGTGTATTTTTAGCAGCACTGAAATAATGAGCTAATACATAAAGATTCTAACACATTCATACTGTTCATAACAGAGGAAAGTAACATGCAACATGTGTCTGCTGATGGGATAAATAAGCTCAGAGCATCAAGGCTGTAACATACACCAGTCAGCAAAATAGTAAACAGTTGAAGTTTGAATTTTCAAGTTTAGGGAGAGCATGAATCATTGCTTTAATTTTTTAATTGTCTTTATAATAAATGTAGTTATCATTAAGTTCAATTATCATTCGGCTCTTAAATTTTCAACAAAAAAAAATTTGAAAAGTTAAATATTATACAGGCTTTAATTTTAAATGAATGCTCTATTTTTTGGGGAGTTTTGCCCCTCAGTAATTTTAGAGGCATACTGACAAGATACATTAATTCCCTGAGGAATACTTAGATGTAGCTTCACTGTCTTTGGCAGTCAAGCTACCCGAAGATTCTCTGCATAATAGCAAAAAATCCTGAACATCTGGTCAGTCCAAAATTCCATGCTAAAAAATTACTTTTTAAAGATTATAATGGGAGAATTACTTTTTCAATTTAGACCATTTTCTGAAAACAATTAGCGACTGATCAGATGAACAGTTCAACTGGCAAAGCAAGGGTAAGGTACACACTAACAGTGATTATAACAGGCAGGTGGTGGCCAGTAACCCCCGAACTAGAGTTTGTAGGTCCTGGAACAGTCCTTATTTTGAAATGGGAGCACAAAAGAGGCCTAAAAGAGTTAACCAAGATATCTTGGCCTGCTAAGAAACCCCAATATCTGTTTTGCTAGAAGAACATTTTAGGAGCACTGGTTAATATCATGTTCTATTCTGCTCACTGGACCAAAGGCCTTAATATAGAAAGAATAAGAGTAATATACACAGGGCAATAAATTAGGTAAACCAGATTTTTGAATAAGATATAGAAGGCCCAAAGCCAGGATTTTGCAAGCCTCATGAATTCAGGTCACCTAACAAAGAAAATTGAAGAGGTCAAATTGAGGAAGATATCTGTGGCGACCACCAGAGGGATGAAGGCTTGAGGAGGAGACCCCCAGAGTAGAAGACTGCACATGCCTGGAAGGACTCTGCCCAGAGACTAGCCTACTTATTCATATGTATGATAAATAATGTAACCATGTATCTGAAGTGTATAAAATTGCTTGCTTTTGCACTTTCAGGTCGAGCAAGTTTGTCCAGCGAGAGCTGGCTTGCTCCCAATGTTGAATAAACAAATACCTTGCTGCTTAAAGATGAAAAAGTCTCTGAGCAGTTAATCATACCGAGGTTTTTTGGCATCAATTTGCAATGTTACTGCTGCAAAAAGACAGATACACCATGTGTTGAAAGGCAAAGAAGTTCATATTTAAGAGTACAGCTTCATGGTCTCCTTAATTTGCGCTAATTTTTCACTGATGTCCCTGGATCTTTTACTTCATGTCTTGAAAGGTATCTGAAGGAAAACCTCATCAGATCTGCAGTTGGCTTCAACTGCACAAGTATGTAACTTGATGCCAGTCAGAGGACTGATCTGGGGCAGGGATGAAAATCAGAAGGTGGCAAAAGAACAGGACAACTTCATTTAGTGACTCTGCTGGCTTAATGATTAGGAATTCACAGCATACGATGTTACTTGGACTGTATACCAAACTTGCTACACTTCTTTCTGACATATTCGTGTTCCAGCTTGCCCTCTGGATTTAGCCAAAACCAGTAAAGACAATTACATCATACATCATTACAGGGTTTCTTCCTGTAGCATCATCTTGTTAGATTATGTCTTATAATCACAGCCCACTAGTATGGTCCTGTGTTGTCACAAAGGATCCTGAGGGTTTGTGTTAAATCTTCATGCATTTTTATACTTCACAGCACCAGAAAAAAAAAGTAAATCATAGAATGACACAGCTTTTAGAAACATGAAAAAAGTCTGTTGAGACTCTTGTGTTGTTGAGAGGATGTCAAAAGTAACAGCTGTGCTGCAAGGCCTAAAGACCTGGGCCAGGGAGCGTTCTCAAGCTCCTGACCACTGGTGTACGCTCCAGCAGCATAGGCAACATGCAGCATTGGGAGGGGCTGGACTGAGTGCTGGAGTTAAATGTCTCTGAGGTTGAAACAGCCCACTAAAGTGTTGGCCAATTACCATTCACCAATATAATTTCCAGTATGGTCAGAGTTCATACAGGCCAGGGACCACTTCCAATAACTGGTTTGAGTGTATACACCCAGTTTTGGAGGGTAAGGAAATTTGACAACATGAACATGGTCAGATTCCAGTGGTGCTTTGGCACCACCTCTTTTACAAAGTAGATGCACTGCCTCCTTACCACAGTGCCTCCTCTCCACTGCCCTAGATATTTGGGCTGAAACATCAGAATAGCGCTGGACACCTGTATGCCCAGGTCTCCAATATGGACAAGATGGACAGCAGAGCTATCCACAGAATCTACCTACCACTCAGATATATATTGATGCGTCTAGGGACAATGAGAAAATTCTAAAAACCACAGGCTCAATAATATATGAGGAGTCACAGGCAGAAGAAAGGGTGCTATAAATGTATATATATTTCTTCTGCTGAAGTTCCTAATTTGTGGCAAGGAATGCAACTGAAAATTTTTCCCACCTTAAGTCTGTTATGCTGCAAAATACTTGTACTCCAGGAAATTTAGGGTATAAAGATTTTCATGTCCAAAGTTCTCAAGTCTGAAGTTTCTATGTGAAAGTGGTTCATGCATGGAACGTGAACAGGTTAATGCAAGAAGTGATAATGCCTTGATACTTACTTATGTTATCTTAGTTTCTCTTGATGAGAGTCAGAGTAGAAAGACCTTTCACTCATATCCTCTTCACCTTATCTCTCCAAAAAGGACTTTGAGGCTGAAAGGTGAGCAGCAGAAGGCCCTGACATTGCATAATATGCACAATCCCTGACCACAAAAAGGGTGTTCTGACTGACTTTGTACTGTATATTGTCTTTGCAGCCTTTTTATGCCATTAGCATAAGGCAGTAGGGGTAGGTTACAATTGGTCTCATAAATTATATTCTCTCTCAAAAATACTGTAGGCTTGTTCAGAGATCCCTGCTCTATTCTGTTTCCCATTTAGGCATGTGAAACTTTCCCAGAGTATAATGATTTGCTGTGAGCAAATCAGCTGACACTTGTCAGGGTTTCCAAAATACTAACAGAAACTAGTAAAAATGGTAGGAGGAATCATCTTTTTTAAAGACATTAGGGATTTTATTTTTTTTTATTTTGTTTCAGAGACTGGCATATGGGAAGCTTTAATAACTTTTTTTTTTAATTGAGCTTTTCAGTTTTGAGAGCAGATTTCTCAGTTTATTGGAAAAAATGGTGTGGCTGAGCACTCTGAGAGGGGGTGGTGATTGTGATGAGGTCTCTGCCCAGAGGTGCTGACTGCTGCCTGAGAGCCATCCCTGCAAGTGGAGTCCTACTGTGCTCCAGAGGACATGCACCAGCAATAATTTGGAGCTCAGGAAACATGCTCTCAGGTACTCTTAGGTATGGGGCACATGCTTGAGTGCAAGCTTTGACAGCTATGCAAGAAGCCATTTACTTTATCAAAGTATATTTGCTTTTCTCTCATGAGGAAATCTATAGCATAAAATAACAATTTGCACCATAAAATGACAGTAGGTTGGCTTTACTATAGGGAAGAAACACAAAGAAATTTAAACTAGGTATAAAGATGGGAGAGATGTCCTGAGGGTCCCTTCTACAATCCTGTAATCCTAAATTCCCTGCTATGGAGAAGCATAGATTTTTTTCCCCCATTCTGAACTTTAGTTGCTCTCTATTTAATGTTTCAGAAACACCAACTAATTTATTCTAATAATTTTCCCTTTAAAGTCAGTAAATATCACCCACACCACAGAGTTTTATTTGCACACAGCAAAGCAATGCCTAGCAGACAACAGATCTTGTTTCCATTTTTTTTCCTTATCCCATGGACAAAGGTAGGCAGTCCGATGAGCCCGCAATCCTTCACAGCTGTTTTGTGTTCCTCTTCCATAAGATGAGAAAAGCACAGGGGGAAAAAAATTTTATTTGTACGTCTATCACGTGACACAGCTTTTGTTCCTTAGCACACAGGCTCCCATATTGGAAACATGGATAACCTAACGCACAGAGTCACAGAATGGTTTGAGTTGGAAGGGACCTTAAATACGATCTAGTTCCAAGCTCTCCAGCCGCGAGCAGGGACACCTTTCACTGGACCAGGTTGCTCCAAGCCTGTCCAACCTGGCCTTGAACACTTCCAGGGATAGGGCAGACACAAGTTACCTGGGCAACCTGTGGCAGCACCTCACCACCCTCATAGGGAAGCACTTCTCTAAAATATTGAATATATTCAAATATAATAAACTATAATAAAGCAATTCTTCTTTAAAATTGATGAATGGAGCATTCAGATAAAGACCTTCATCTTAGGTGGAAGCTGGAAGCAATGGATACAGCCCACACATCTCCTGGAAGCAGTGGGGTCAGACGGCAAAGGCAACTTCACATTAGTCAGTTGTTTGAACGTTTGGACTTAAAATCCCCTTGGGGGACAGAAAAGTGCGGGTTTTTTTTATTCCAGTATGTGCGTTGTCCTAGTTTACTCCACCACCACAAGAAACGGAAGTTTTATTCAAAGCCCACTGTAGTCAACAAACTCTTCTTACTCTTTATCCCGACTTGTACCCATGGGAAATATATAAACGCCATAAGCACTAGGGAATCGTCCGCAGTTTTAGGCCATATCTGTAACGTTTTGGATTCTGAGTCGGGAAATTAGGGGTACGCTTAAACGGTTGAAGGACCTTTTCTTCCTGTTTAATTTGCAGAAACGAGGAGAGGGCGAGCTCTCTTCCCCCCTCCCCGAGGTTAAGCACGCCCAGGCCGAAGCGGGCGAGCACCGCTCTCCCTCACGGCAGGCACCGCCCACCCGGGGGCCGCGGCTTCGGCTGCGCCCGGCCCCGCTCGTTCGCACCGCCCGGCCGCGGTGCATGCGGGGACCGCCGCCGTGTCTCTGAGCAACGCCGCCGGGCCGTCATCGGGGCGCGGGCAGCGGGCCCGTCCGTGCCCGGAGCCGCTCGCCCTCTGCCGCCCTCGCCAAGGCGGAGCCGGTCTGGGCTCATCGCCGGCCCGGGCACATCACCGCTCCTGGCCTCGGGCGCGGGCTGAGGGAGCCCGCCCAAGAAGCAGTTCGGCCGCGGCGGCTCCGCGCACGGCGGGGAAGCGGTGGGGGACATCCTCCTCCTCCTGCTGCTGCTGCTACTGCTGCTGCCGGAGAGGAGCCGTGTGCTTCGTCCTGGCTGAGGCTCGCTTGCTGAAGGGCACGTACTTCATGTTACTGATGAAATGAAACGCTACCTTCTTAAGACTTTTATGAAAATAGGAAGCCAGGCAAAGAGAGACCTCCTTAGTGTCTGTGCTCCGTGAGGGAGAGGCCACCAGGCGAATGCAGCTGTATTAATGGAGTGTTTGTGAAGAAAGGCTTTGGAACCTGGGCTTCTTTAATGCTGGCATCTAAAAACCTTTTTGACTTTTCCATCTATATGCAACATTCTTCGTGTATGATAGATTCTTCATATATGATAGATTCTATTTACAACATTCTTCCTATCTTCATATCTGTATAATACCTTTGGCTATGTTGATATAAGGACATGTGAAGGAGGGAAGGTTTGAAGCTAGGGGAGATACCTTTCATTAGACTTAACTGCTATGGTTTGGCCTAATAAAGGCAAACTTTAGAATATGAGAGAGTTATCTTAAACCTGAATTAGCTGACAATGGAAAGATACTATTAAAAAAGTAGTAGTAATACAGTTACTTGTTATAATCGTTTAGTTTTAATGATAAATATCTTTTAAACAGTTTTCGTAACTGGTATAAGTACAAAACATAATTCTGTGAAATGGTGCCATTTAATACTGTTTATAGGTGAGTCCTAGCTCTTTTGAACTTGTAAACCTTACATTTGTATTTTACATTTTTAAAGATTTATATAAAACCCGAGGTAACATTTGGCATGTTAAACGTTTCACAGAAAAATGATGCAAAATGTGCATCTGGCTCCTGAGAACGATGAAGATGATCTCTATTCTGGCTACAATGATTATAATCCCATGTTTGATACAGAGGTAAAAATATTTGCTGTTTTCCACCTTTCCCATAGGTAAAATTATAATTTAGCAGTACAAGATAAGAACTTGTGTACAACTTTACTACTGCTTTGAAGTGAAATGTACTTTATTTAGCAAGAAACCTAAAAAGCTTCAGCAGGATCTTTTTGAATAGTTAATTCTTTGATAGTTTTCTATTCCAGCAAAATAGTTACGTACATCTCAGGAAACCTAATATGCTATAATAGTTAGAATTTATGAAGTATAAAATCTTAGTTGTTTGTAGGTGCATTCAGTGTGGTGTTTCCCAGATTACGTGCAGCAGCACGTTTTCTGACAAAAGAGGCTACTCATTGGCCAATAGGTCATTGATCTCTTGCTGACCTGCTGCTGCTGGAGCTCACAGTGGAATGGAATACTAGAGATCTCTGTGCAATCAGTAGAGCACCTGGGATGTCTTAAGACAGTCCTGCAGACCACTTTCTGGTAACTGCTGGTGTGGTGGAATTAGAACAACATTGGGCTCATTTGATCCAAACCCACTAGACATGGCATCCTGTGTGAAATCCCAATGCCAAATTCATAGGAGTTGCAGCATGACCTGAGAGACATGAGATGTCTTAATGTATTGGGATGGCAGGTCTTAATGTTAAAATTCAGAAATAGCGTGAGTAGTAAACATTTGGATGGAGATAAAATTTCATATTTTGTCACTTCAGCACTGCTTCCTCAGTGCGTTTTTACTTTTCAGAGAATAATGAGTTTTTACATTTCCTAATCTAAAATACCAAAAAAGATAGACAAATACTGTCATTGTAATTTAATGTCAGTAAAACCTGTTTTTCAGTTATCTTCAGGTCAAGTATTTTGGGAAGAATTACTGTGTTTTTACCTTTCTGCTTTTAGTAGTCTGAAGTTTCTGGAATTGTGGTTTTGGGTGTTGCATTTTAAAAGGATTGATGTTTTTATTTTATCTTTTCTAGGATTTAGAAAATGATGTAGCTTTTCAACAGGCAGCAAGAACAAGTCATGGAAGAAGACCCCCTGTAAGTACCATTGAAAATACATTGCAATAATGTAGAGCTTCTCTAGAGCCTTAGCTCGAACTGGGCACTGATACAAACCTATCTTGAGAATCTCTTACCTTTTTTTTTTTTTGGTCTGCTACTATGATGAAGATACAGACTTTAGTTATTCATATGAAAAATAAGTAAAAAATTAGCAGAGCCTGATTAACTTCATTTCATTCTGGAGTTAATCTAGAACGACAAGGAACTTCGGTTGAAAATGCATCTTCCTGTTTGATAAAATGAGGTAAAGCCTTGTTCAAGAACAAAATTATACATTCACAAAGGACTTTGTTTAATATTCCAAACATAGAATTACTGGCTCTGATGTACTGTTACAAAGTTGAAATATATACTAGACAGTGGGATTTAGAAAATCATGTGCTATTGTTCTGGTAACTTTTTCCTCCACATTAATGTAATTGACATCAATTCCCTTATTTTCATCTAGCTTTGACTTAATCTTACATCAGTTTTCAAAACCAAATATGAAGTTGGTACCTGCACTGTAGAAGTACCTACTGAATGCCTAAAGAAGAGCTGGAACTGTCTGATTAATGTTACTTCTTTGCCAGAATAATCTGCTTCTACAATGAGAATTCTTTCTGTAACAGTTGAAGCATTATATCTGTGAAATCACTACAGAACTTATATAGAAAGACTAATAATTGACACATATGGTTGTTAATTGGTGGGGATTTTTTTTTTTAGGTCTATTTTTTTTTTTCCATCCAGGTGACAGCCAAAATTCCCAGCTCAGCAAGTTCAAGACCTTTAGCTACTGGATTTGGGGTAGGTTTTTGTTCTGTTGTATCCCTAATGAAAATGGTATTTACCAAAAATTAAATGTAACATTTAATTCCTCGCACAAAGTGAGCTCTTTTTAATTAAGGATTTCTTTCCAATGAAATGCATGGATTTGTGTTAATTTTAATTCACCACTCTGCGCTTGGTCAAGGCATTGTTAGTTAACTAAGTTACCGGTTATTTTCTTTTTTTCTCCCAAACCATACTGTAAATCTACTTCCATACTTCATAAGGCATTAGAATCCAAGGAATTAACCAGGTTCTCTTGCAGGCGAAACCGAATAGCTTGTTATTTTGGCTTGGAAAAATTTTCTGGAAGTTAAGGTGAAATCAGTCTTAAAAAATACGGCTTTGAAACACCTCTAGTTTAATTGGAAAAAGTTGGTTGTGGTCTTAGGTATTCTTAGCCTGTTATAACTCTTAACAAACCAGATTAAACCATATTCCAATAAATTTTAAACCTGTTAGCCTGACTTAGTAAAACTTAAAAAAAAATAATACCCTTAGATATAACATTCCTTAAGTTCTATGACAAATAAAAGAGGAACATCACATGGCCGTAGATCTCTTATGTAAGTTAGCTGGCTAACGATTTCAAGAACACCTAAGTTCTATTAAGTCACTGAAATACAACCTTTGCTCTGAACCTTCTGTTACCTGCTTTGGATGTATTAGAATCATGGAATGGTTTGGGTTGGAAGGGACCTTTAAAGGTCAGCTAGTCCAACACCCCTGCAAAGAGCAGGGACACCTTCAACTAGATCAGATTGCTCAGACTTTTGTCGCTGCTTTTTCTTAGCAGTTGTGTTTGCATATAATGAGTGTAATACCAAGCTGTAAGGGGAAAAGCTGTCTTGTTAAATGAGTGCACAAAAAGGCACTTCCTTGGGATAATAAAGGCTGAGTTATTTATCTGCAATAGCAGAGCTAGAATTTCCAAGGCATTGTCCACAATACTGTCTTATTCGCTCCACAGATTTGCTTCTCCTACACAATAATCCTTGCTAAGGTACATTCATCCTTAGCAGTAAAAATGGAAAACAATCATGGTGTGTGTGTGGATAGTGAGTATAATAGTAAAACATAGGCCTTTGAGTGGGAAGTAGGGTAATACTTTTTCATGGCCTGAAACCCTTAATTTTTGTCCGTTTGTATTGTGTATTTGTAGCAAGCTTTAGCACTTACTAATAAATATTTCACATTTGTTTCTTTACATTTTTAACCTTCTGCAGGAAGACAGTATGTGCCATTCAGGAAACGGAAGAGATATCCATTGGTAGTTAAAAAGTGTATCTGTATTTATGATAAAATAAATGTGCATGGAAGTAAAACTTAATTAATTCAGGGACAGATTTTATCAGCTCTACTCAGAATTTTACTGAAGTATCTTGTGTAAATTATTTGTTCAATTTGAAGATAGTAATTTCAATAATTGAATAATGGAAAGCACTGCTGCCTCAGATAATTTTCTATATACTTCTTTTTAAAAGAGCTGACGGAAATATCCAAATACGTAAAAAAACTTTATTGCGAATTTGTGCTAACAGAAGTGTTCAACATCTTTAAGTCTGCCAGGCACTAGCAGTATATTGTTTATGAATAACATAAATGAGAACTTTGCTATGAACTTATGTGAGAGCTCAACTTTTAAACCTCAGTGTTGAGAAGACTGTACATAGGCTTCTTATGCTTTCTGAATGCCAGTTTCAAACAATTTACTTATTTTTGTAGCCAAAAGCAACTTTACCTTCATCTATGGGAAGACCAATGACAGGAGGTATACAGGTAAAAGTTTCAATATGTACATTTTATATTCATTTTGAACAATAAAGTTTTCTGATAAGTGTTTGATATAAGTATTTTTAAAAGATTGTAATATTTAAGCAATAAAAACATTTTTAAAAATGTTTTCAGTTTAGTGAGGTGGTAACTAATTTTTGTATTTAAAGGTTTTGTAGTATATAGTTACATATAAATAATAAGATATATAAAATTATATCTGTAAATACATATAATGATGTCTGTATTGTCCACAATATAATTTTTAGTAAGTCTATTTTAATATATCTTCTTCTTTGTTTGAGGATGGGGTTTCTCGACCAATGACAGCAGTGCAAGCTGCAGGTTATACTAAGGCAGCTATGAGAGGTATGGTTTGTAGAAACTGCCAGCTGCCCCAGGGAGATGTTATTTTACAATTTTCAGTACGCTGTTAATTTTGCAGGTTCTTCATTTGATCCTCTTGGCCAAGCAAGAGGTCCTGCTCCACCTCTAGAAAAGAAAAATTCAGACAGGTTTGTTCAGTTTTGCATTAAATTATTTCAAAGCATTAACAGCAACAGAAAGCCAACCATGCATGGAGTTCGAAAACATCCAGGCAGTTACAAAACCTTGAGGGGCCAAACTCTTAACTTTGTGGAATGATGCCACAAACAGTATGCATGTGGTTAGCTGACTTGCCAGAGCAGTTGCACTGACTTTCAGGAACATTTGATTTCAGTGATTTCTAGTTCTGAATAGCTCAGCAGCCTGGATGTAGGTGTTGTCACACAAATGCTGTTATATAGAACTGTGGAGGATCATGGAAGTGTGTGTGACAGGCAAGGAACACCATGATTCTTGCAGCTCTCTGGGAAGAACTTGAGGGAATTTACCTGCTGTTTCTCTCTTAGCACTTGAGGTAAAACTTGCAGGCTAGTGCAAATGTTGTGGAGTTCACTCAGAAAATGACGTTGAGCTTTCCAATACAAAAGTTATGTTCCCCAAATGTAACTATGTAGGAATAGGGAATCCTACTGAAATGCTCAATTACTTAGCGGACGAAATAATCTAGATGAATAACAACTTTTTGTTATAATCTGCATGTGCAAGCAGCACTTTGGAGTTATCTGTGTAAATAACGGTTAGATTAATTGCTTTTAATGTGATATTTCATTTCACTAGGTGTTTGATTTGAAAGCTGATCTGTTGTTCTGTTGTTACTTCTCCTGAACAAATTGAGTTAATGAAATTTACCTGTCTGTATTGTTCTCTTAAGAGGATTTTTGTTTTCTTAGGTCTCTGTTCTCAAATTGAAAGTGTGAATGTGATATCTTTGGAGGATCTTCTTTGGGCATAGTTTCTCGTGATATTTTCATTGATGAGAAAACCAGTTAGTTGCGGCATGTGACACATCACTGTGCTGTTTTATTGAGTAGTGTGTAAAAGAATTGAATTATGTGTAAAAGCTTAGTGTTTGGTGTTATGTTACTGGTGTTAATCCTTTTATTGTTATTTTTGTTTTAGTCCAGAAGAGAAGTTGAGGCAGTTGGAAAAAAAAGTGAATGAACTGGTTGAAGAAAGCTGTGTTGCCAACAGCTGTGGAGACTTGAAATTGGTAATTTTTCCGGGGTTTCACTTTTCCTGTTGTGTGAAGAACAATTTGTATAGATAAGTGTTTCGTCTGTTATAGAGGGTACTAGAGCAATGTTGTGCCAGTGAATAGTGGCTAAGTAACAGGCTCTCGCCCATTTGATTTACATCTAGTGTAGATGTAGTTGGAGAGCTCAAGCTGTTTGGACAAATTAGCACTTTTAAGAAGGTCTTTCTGTTTGACACACAGGAATATTTTTCTATCCTACTCCAATTGAGACAATTTCAAATATCTCCTTAGGTCTTATGAAGTGTGGTGGGTACAGCATCATTTAATCTTACTTCAGCTGTCTTAATGTACTGGATCTGTTGAGCGGTTTGCAGTCCATCTGTTGGTAGATTATCTTTTTTCAGATGTCTTTGGTTTTGCTTTGAGATCTAGAATTCATTCAGCTTTCAGGAAATGAGCTAACTTTTTTTGTTAATTTTTCTTGAGCTCCTTGCATGTATGGTCGAGAATATTCTTTGTTTCTTGATGTCAAAGGGTTGTTTCTTATGTAGATTATATCAGACTATTCCAAGGGTCCTCTAGGATGTTTGTCTTAGTTTCTGATAAGTCCAGCAGAATATCCATTTTTCTGCAAAAGCCATCAAAGTTACCAACTCATTATCTATAAAAGAGTCAAGTTGGATTTGCCTTCTGTCATAAAGGATAATAATCAAGCTATATCTTGAAGTACTTCCTTCACTGCTGGCTGCCAAATCACTACCTGGAGTGGTAACCATTACTTTCTTAATCATTGTACCCTTGTGAAGGCATACAGGACTGCTAATGGCACTTCCTAGACCCAGAGCATTAGTTGTGCAAAGGGTCTTGACACCAGCCTGCAGAGGGTTATAATTGGGTACATACACGTGACATAACCACTGTGGATAGATAAAAAGGGAAAGCAATTTACCGGCATCAAGAGTTACTAAAGATATATGTACAGAATACATTTATGTGGTTGTAACCTGCATGTTTATTTCTTGCCTTCACTTACTTCCTTCCAACACTTTCCTGCACTGAGATTCTACAATAAGAAAACATGCCAAACCAAATCGCTCCCTCTTTTTTTTCTTTGAACCATTTCTGTGCACTTTCTGTGATTAATACAAGTAGAATAATCTTCTAGGATCACCATAATGTAGTGATTATGGCATATGCGTGTGACTGTACTTCTCTAAAATTATACAGCTAAGTAGACTGTATGTTTGTTTAGTACTAAGTAACACGTTTTTGTGGGTTACAGTGCCATTTTTCAGACATTTGGTACAGTCTATGCATCTAAAGAAAATAGACATGAGTATATTCTCTTCATACTTTTTTTGAGTATACTTTTGTCATCTTGGGTCAGTAAGATTCAAGGCACTGTTAAATTCTAGCATTTTGTTTAAGGCTCTGGAAAAAGCAAAAGAGGCTGGAAGACAGGAAAGAGAATTGTTGAGACAACGTGAACAAATTACTCCTCCAGAAAATATCAACTTAGACCTCACTTACTCAGTAAGTGCTTAGAAATCTTCAGTGAGAGAAATGTTGCTAAAAAACCCCCTGAACAGATATTTCAGTGTTTCATGAAGTGTATGTGTGTTGTAATGCTCCTAGCAGGGTACCAGAGGAGATCCATTTATGTCACTGAGTCTGTTACCGTGTAATCTCAAGTACCAGAGAAACCATGTACTCAGTAAGTGGAGAAGGATGCCCATGAATATCTACTCCAGCTATCTACTCACATGCAAAACTTGCATATCAAAACGTAACAGATATAAACCCTGTACTTCAAAAATAAATAGTCTAGAAAATGTGACATGCCAAGAGAAGAAAACAGGAAAGATCAGATGCTGTCTTTAAATTAAACCATAAAGTGACAGAGAATGTATTACATGAAATAGGATACAATAATATTCTTGAATCTTAAAGCAGATATCTAGATTTACATTCTGGTTTTCAAATTAATAGTAGACTTTAGAAAAAAAAAAAAGGGTACAAAATGTATAAAAATACTTGAGGTGTATTTAAAGTTGTACCCTAGGTAATGCTGTAGAGACAACTATTAACAGTTAAATTAGGCAGACCTAATAGTTTATTTTACTGTGAAGGTCAGGGTAAAGCTGGGGAAAAAGTGCGGAGGTGTTTTACCTGACACCAGCAGAACTAGTGTTTTGAAACAGCAGTTTGGAAAAATTCTGTCTTTCTAAACTGAGTGACCTCAGGCAGTAGGACCATTTTCCACATGTTGGGAGCCATAAATTGCACACAGTTTCTGAGAATGAACTTGTACGAATATTTCTTAATAACTTTGTATTATAACATTGCGTTTACTTGGATTTAAGGCTCACTTAGTATGACTTTGAATGGTAGTTTTTTATGTACAAAAATAAAAGAATTACCTAGAATAAGTAGCTTTTAAACTTGTTTCCTCTATGTCCATGTGCAAGAACCAAGGAACATTAAAAATGGGAAGCTTAAAACTGGTACAAACAGTACTGCCAAAGTAAAATTAATTTCAAATTATCTATTATGAATTCAAGTTTATTACTGTTGAGAGGACAATATATTTCGTTGTACCTATAATTCCAATTTTCTGTAGGTTCTTCTCAATCTGGCGAGTCAGTATGCTGCTAATGAAATGTATGCTGAAGCACTGACTACTTACCAAGTCATCGTGAAGAATAAGATGTTCACCAGTGGAGGTACGTTATATTCAAGGTGGATTAAAATTGGTAGTTAGGCATTCAGAATGAGGGCTGCATCTGTATAGTGTTGATTCACAGAGATCTCAGCCCGCAGAGTTAGCTGGTCAGAGTGGGCAACAGATACCCACAGTCTTTGACTTGGAGAGCCAAACCACATTAGGTTACACCGACTCATGAAGTCTTTTTTTTTTCCATAGGCTAAGCTAAACATAAAGACAAATCTATAATTTTCTAATGCCACGCACACTATGTTGTCTGCTCTAATACTAATTTTTTCTCTTTTGATTTGGCTTTTCCCTTCTGAAAGATCCTTTTAGTATTTTGCACATCTTTGAGACGACCACAGTGCACTTTTCTTAGAAATGTTGATTTGCGACTGTCTTCCTGGAGAGCACTGTAAATAATCTCTACCTCATCCCTCAGTTCATAGTCAAAATCAGAATATATCTTACATGGTAGTTCTTTCCTAGGTTTCATCAGTACTTCATCTTCCCCTGGGTGAAGGCAGTTCTGTGCAGTGCTGCTTTAAAGGGACACTGATATCCTGTAATGAAGACATATTTATGAGGAATTTGTTCTACTGTGCCACTTTGAAACAATTTAAAAATCTTGTAACTCATTGACTTCTTTTGATAGGTATACTGAAGGTAAATATGGGAAATATATATTTAAAACAACGGAACTATTCCAAAGCTATCAAATTCTACCGTATGGCTCTAGACCAGATTACCAGTGCCCACAAAGAGATGAGGTGAGTTTCTTCTAGGAGGCCTGGTTATGAAACACAAGATTTGGATACAATATGATTTAAGAGTTAAAAATATAACCTAATCCTGGTTTCTTTACTTAGGATGAAAATAATGGAAAATATTGGAGTTGCATTTATTAAAACTGGCCAATACGTTGATGCCATTTCTTCATTTGAAGACATAATGAGCATATCCCCAAACCTGAAGGCAGGCTTCAACTTGATCCTATGTTATTTTGCTATTGGAAATGGTGAGCAAATGAAGAAAGCCTTCAAAAAACTGATTGCAGTTCCTTTGGAAGTAGATTTTGATGACAAATACATTTCATTAAATGTAAGTTTGAAAAAAAGAAACTGTGTCTTTACATAGTAAATTGGGAGAAAGAAGGAGATATATGTAATGCTTGGACAGTACTGAATATGTAAATCAATGTGTACTTAAATATCTAAAATAACTTTTTTTTTTTTACCAACATGAATTTAGTGTGGCACTACTGCTCGGAAGTGTAAAATAATGAAAGAACATTCAAAGCCTTTCTTCCTCAAAAGATATGATGTACATAAAATCCACACCATTGTCTTTTGAATTTAATTATTAGTTCTTTTAGAGCTAGCTAGAATGATAGAAATCATAAGATGATCATGTGAGTTATCGTAATGAGAAGGTAGCACAAGTCCTCCTCTGCTGAATGCAGTTCAGCAAATGCTTATTTTTAAGCATGAGAATATTCTCACTCTGCAGCCTTCCCAGTCTGATATACATGACATGATCTACATCCATTAACAACGCTAACATGAGCTGTGACAACATATATGAGCAGAAAAACAGGATTGAAGTAGTTGTAATACCAAATTTCAGATTTTACAGTTAGAAAACTACTTTAAACTGAAACTAGCTTTTTCAAATGTGGAAAGTAAGTGACATTATAGACTATGTATTCTGCATCAATTTATGTTTGCAGTCATATCATCTATAAAATAATTAAAATGTTTGTATACTGGCATAATTTGCAGTTATTTTGTCCCCCTTCAGGATGATCTACATACAAATCTACTGCTTGAAGCCATTAAAAATGACAGTATAAGTCAAATGGAACGTGAGAGGTAATGATGGAATCTATTCTTTTTTGACTGTGGTGCCTGGATTAGCTCCTGAAAGGATTATCGGTCTCTCACCTGTCCACAGCTCTTGTTACGAAAGTGTCCTCGTAATTCTTAGGAAAGAATACACTCAGAAGAACCAGTTGGATCACTCAGTTTCGTGTACTGCACTAAAGCAGAATATCTGCCCCAAATGATCTAGGTTACGTTGCTTAAAACTTGCAGCATTAGAGTTTTTTTAAAAATACAACTACAGTGTGCGGTGAAAGGAAAATAGAAAAAACTGATACAGGGCAAGATACAGGGCAGTGTCAAGATACAGGTAGCAGGGGACTGGTTAGATTGTCCTGAGTGCAGGAAGAAGCAAGAACAAGGTTTGTTTTGGTTTTTTTTCTATACATGTTTTTGAAATGATGGCATAGAATGGTTTGGGTTGAAAGGGACCTTAAGGATCATCCAGTTCCAACCCCTCTGCCATGGGCAGGGACACCTTCCACTAGACCAGGTTGCTCCAAGTCCCACCAAGCTGGCCTTGAACACTTCCAGGGATGGGGCATCCACAACTTCTCTGGGGCACCTGTTCCAGTGCCCCACCACCCTTGCGGTGAAGAATTTCTTTAATATTTTTATATTGTGTTTTTGTTTGGTTTTCTTTTTCCTTAGGAAATCCATGGCAGAGGAATACATCATGACGGCTGCTAAACTCATTGCACCAGTAATTGAGACATCTTTTGCAGTAGGCTATGACTGGTAAGAGTCAAATGGGGCTTCTTTTTTTCTAAACTACATGTGAGTCTCTTGTGCTGGTTATGAAACTAGATTCACAAACATAAACAGCCTGGGAAACACGGTCTGCCCCACATCTCCAGTGTGGTATCCAGGCTATTTACAGTTTGCCTCCATAATCCTGTGGAGAAGAACAAAACAAAGCATTAGAGTCTATCATTGAAACTCAGCTGTTAAATATATATTTTGCACTGTTCTGTGTTCACGCAGAAAGAACTTCTAAAAGCTCAATTGAATTTGAAAATTCAACTTGAAAACTGAAAAGCTTTTAAAAATCTCAGTAAACAAAGGCTATATGGAAGGTAATGATCACTACTCTTTAGTGTAAGTTTGATGATAGCGTAATGAAAACTTGGGGTGCCCAAGAAGTTTTCATTACTCCGTAGACTCATTATATAAAATACTTAAATCCAAATTTTTATTGGAAAAGTTTATTTGCATTTCATTTAAAAACTTCGTATTTTTAAATGTAAACTTAATCTACCATTTCTTAAACATTTCACAAGTATATACAGGGATAGGCTGCTGATACAGTTCACCATTTGAACTTTATTTTTTAATTTATAGGTTAGCTTTTGCTTTCTGTGGTATTTTCCAAAGGAGAATACTCTTCTCTTTAAAACAAAATCAAGTAGACACACTTACTGTAATGACAATATAAAAATGATTTGTATAACTTTCCCAAGATGTATTTTAAACTTACTTTTAGTTTTCTATTATAAGGACTTTGATATTTTTATGTATTTTTAGTAACACTGGAAAATAACATGTACACAAATGAGTGTTGTGTATCTGCAGGCACAAAATTACTAACGTGTTCAATGTTTGGGTAGTGAAGGACATTTGTTGAGAAAAGAGAACTGTCCTTTACCTGGGGTTTTTGGCCTGTTAGGATTATTTTCAAATTGTGCAGATCCTATAATTATAATTTACAAGGTTGTTTATACTAATACGAAATAATCTCTCACACAGATGTGCTTTGTCTGCTAGGGTCCACAAGGTGGTGTTTGATGGTTTAATAATCATTTAATAATCAACTTCTACCATTCTGAATTATCAGAACTTAAACAGTATGTCCTGTGAAAATTAGCTTGCCACTTTAGAATTTGTTAGCATGAGTAAGTCATATTTGTTTGCTCTATATCTTGGTTTTTTTGTTCAGGAAAATTGGAAAAGGTTGTCAGATACTGTTTCTTTAGTGCTATCCACAGAATACTTGTCATGAAGTAACACACTCTTATATGTGTTCTGGCTAGTTAGACAACTTCTGGTGAGATATGTGGGATTGTTTTGTGTGTATCAGGACAGATCTACTCTCTGTTATTTTAGGCTGAAGTATTTGAGCCCAGTGAAAAAGTTTAACTAGCAGTTTGAGCTTGGTTTTTCAAATGATAAACTTTTTTATGAGTCCTCTGAGTACTAGATGTGCTTTTAATCAGATTAATTGTCTTTAGAGAAATTAAGTGGGGACAAATAGTCTTTGGATTTCATAACTTCTTACTTAAAACGTGACATAGTCATGGGACTGTTCTGTGATATTTCAAAAAGAAGTTGGATAGTTAGATCTCATTGCATTTTATAGTTAAAAGATGTTAGCAGTAGCAGTTGAAAACTTTTTTGACTTTGCAAAGACATCTGTAATAAAAGAAGAAATTACTATTATTTAATATGATGCCCGCTGAGCTGGTGCTACGAAAAAAATCTAGGAGCCGTAAACTGGGGTGAGATAAGGAAAGGATTTAATTATGCCAAGGCAATAGATGTTACACGATGCGCGCCGGGCTGTGCCCGGGATGTTACATTTATAACAATATCTGGCCAATCCTAAGTGTGTCCACCCTATAACTTTTGGCCTGGTCCACCCCCTGGCCCGCCTCTTGGAATTGGGTCTGGGGTGCTTTTTGGGACCCCCTCTTCATCATCTTCATCATCTTCAGGGTACAGAGAGCAGGGTGACCCAGTTCTTTGACTCTGTCCTGCGGTTTAGGCCAAGATACAAGCGTTCTCCAAACAAGACAGGCTTGCCTTGACAAGAGACTAAACATCTTCTACTAGATATGGGAATAGGGTTGATATGGGGGTATGGAATGGGGTGAAAGGATTAAGGAATGTATAAACTAAGGGATACTACGGGGAGGAGGGAGAAAGAGGTTTATTTCTAAAATCTACTTCTATTACCTATAAAACTTATAAGGTTTACAAAATTAGAAAAATAAAAAGACATAAGGGGCTTAAGGCATCACATATAATATTTCCTCCAGCATAAAAGACATTTGTATAGAGACTGTCCATGTGCCAACCCAATTACAGCAGTAGGCAGTTTGTTAAATTAAACTTCTGTTGGCAATGTAGCCAACTGTTGGAAGGAAAGAAGGCAGCTCTCCACCAGTTAAAAAAATAGGGGAAGGGATGAAGGAAGCATCCTGCAAGTTGTTCATGGACTGTGCCTCATTACCAACTGTTTGAGAGAACAGTATGTGCATACAATAAATAAAGGTCTTGCTTCATATGATCAGACAGCTTAAAGTAGACCACATCAAACCCTGGAAGATGGAGTTTGTGAATGAACATCTGAACTGTCTGCTGCATTCTCTTCTGCACTCATTTTGCAGAAGACCCTAAGACACAAATAACTGGGAGATGACCAGAAAGAGGTTTATTATTATGACTTTATTCTTATTATGGAGCTCAGGGACACAATCTGCAGTCTCTGCAGTTTGTTCACTAATCTGGTCTACAGGTTTGGTAATATATGCAACAGGAGATGAGGTTTGAAAAGCCACCATATAGAATGTATCCAAAGAAAATAGTTTGAAAAATTGTCTTAGTGAGTTTTTGATATCAAGTATTGCTCAGTGGTGAAAAATAAATTGATATTTAGACAGCTGGCTTAAAAAAAAAAAAAGAGATAGCAGAGGTACTATTATTAAGGTAAGTTATGGATATAAATATTTTCTCAAATATTTTTTAATCAGAGTGCTCTTTTCCTCTGTGAAGAAAGATTAGCTAAGAAAAACTGAGTTTGGAATGCAAATTAGATGCAAAAGTGTATAACTTAGAGGGGTTTGCACAGGTGCATTTTGTTTATCTTAATGGATCGCTTCTGTTGCAGGTGTGTTGATGCGGTAAAAGCTTCCCACTATGTAGAGTTAGCCAACGACCTGGAAATAAATAAAGCCACTACTTACTTGAGGCAGCAGAATTTTAACCAGGTATAGTAACTTTTCACAGTACTGCTTTTACTGTATTTGCAATGATACTTTTCTTAGCCACAGCATATTTTTTGGTGAGGGAAAGAATCATTTACGCAAACATAATTATTTTGATGCTGATCAGTAAAATAACTTTATAAAAACACTGGCAAGAGATGAGTTTTGTCTAAACAAAATTTCTGCCACAGAAGCTGGTGTGAATGCACTTAACTAAATCTAGGTGTCTTGATTTTGAAATTATCTTCACTGGGTTTCCAAGCTGTCATTACAGTTAGTGGAACTGAGGTTAGTACAGTCAGTAGAGCCTAGAAAGCCTGTTGCTAATCAATATGAAGGTGTTTTCATTAATATGAGCTATATCTTATTAGGTTGACTGTACTACCAAAATATATGCAGCTGCACTTCATATGTATCATTAATGTTTATGCTCTGGTATTCTCACTGTTCCCCATGTACTACAGCTTTTATAGTATTTTACTATAAACTGTTCTTATACTTTAGTCGGCCCTCCTATCGTTCCATTGAAATACAAATTGAAATTAAACTAAGCATCTGCTCAGGAGCTTGGACGGTTCTGCGTATCTTATAAAAATGCATACCCCTCTGGAGAGCAGAGAGGGCTGGGTGAATCACCAGTACTGGGAAGATATTACAGCAGTTTAAGCCACAGTGTGTATTTGCAAATGAAAAAGGTAATAGAAAAGATACGGTATTAGTACTTCTAAGTAAAAGTATAGCTCGTTGCTCAAAATTCGATAGCTTGCAGAAGTTCAGAAGATAGATCTACCAAAATCATTGTGACTTTATATTTTTTAACTTGCACATTATTGCATGTTTAATTTGTTTGTTGTATTTTTAAATATACATGTGAGATAACTTTTGGCTATTTTGAAATGATTTCTGTATATTTATGTAGGTAAGATCTTTCTCTAGCTGGCTACCCAATCACTAGTTAGATAAATTTCTGCCTGTGAATTTTATGCCGAACTGCCTTCATTTAAAAATTTTCACCAATCTCTTTCTAATAAGTACAGGAGGCTGTTAACTCCAGCTTTCCTTTTTCTATGCATGTAAATTGCCAATGTAGGTGTATAAATTAATACCACACCTTGCCACGTTTAAGTTTTTGGTATTATCTGAGTGAATGTGCAGCTTTCTGACAGTGTTTTATTTAAAGACAAATGCATTTTTTTGCACTTAATCTTTATGGGTTGTGGCACAACTTATAATACCAGGTTTTCATCAAAATTGTAATGTAATCTTTTATTTGCTTGTGGAAAAGGTTTGGTTTGAAATGTGAGCAATTGGAAAACAGCTTCATTTGAACAAAAAGAAGCTTAGATATCTGACAGGATTTGATCAGCTTCCTTCTAACATGCACTGGTTGGTACATTCAGTAATAGGAATGCTTAATAAATAAGAAGGAATATCAACCCCAGTTTTGCACAAGTGGCAAGAAGTATGAGAGATCATATACAGCAAAATTACTGCTGAAGCTGTGAATACCTCCATCATCTTCTAAGGTCCTTCCCCTTCCCACATCTTGGACGGGTACACACAGGGCCACATACTTAACTTTAGCCCCTTTTATTTCTCATGTTTAAGCTTTTCTAGTTTCCTGAACAGCTCTCCTCCTCCTGCCTGTCTTGTCCTCTTCTCCTTCCCTGTAGATACAGCAAGAGAGTTATACTTTGTTACACTGCATGTCTGAATGTTGGGGTTTAACCCAGCTGCAAACAAAGAACCAGGCAGTCACTCACTCACTCCCTGCCCTGCTGGCATGGGGGAGAGAATCAGGAGAGTAAAGTGAGAAAACTCGTGGGTAGAGATAAAGGCAGTGTAATAGGTAAAGCAAAAGCTGCTCATACAAGCATTCACCCCTTCCTTCTTCTTCCCCCACTTCATATACAGAGCATGATGCCATATGGTATGGAATATCTCTTTGGTCAATTGGGGTCAGGTGTCCCAGCTGTGTCCCCTCCCAACTCCCTGTGCGCCCCCAGCCCACTCACTGGTGGGATGGAGTGAGAGGCAGAAAAGGCCTTGACTCTGTATAAGCCCTGTTCAGCAGTAATGAAAACATCCCTGAGTTTCAACACTGTTTCCAACACAAACCCAAAACACAGCCCTATACAAGCTGCTATGAAAACAATAACTCTATCCCAGCCAAAACCAGCACACTGATAGCTTTTCTGAGATCAATTTTGAGAGTTTGGAAAATCTTGGGCAAATCTGGTAGCTTTTGAAGGGTGAGAGTGTTACAGGTAGGTAAACAGTCATACAAACTTAAGAAATTACTATTTTGATGGTAATTCCTTGTGATTTCCAGTTAGTATCCAGGATAGGTTAAAAAGCCCCCTAAAATCAATTCTCACATGTAAAATGATATACACAGGTTGCTGGTGATGTTTCTGTGTAGTACTTTAATGGAGGGAGAGGGAAGGGTGTTGGAAGTTATCAGTAAGGGGAGAACTCCTTTTATTTGGATTATGTGGTAGAAGACCTTTAACATGCACTGGAACCACTTAATTGTACAGTGAGACTGCAGAATGGTGATTGCAGAGAGTCATTTTGTTTTGTTCTAATAAAACTGCAGGTGCCATTTAAATTCATCCAGTCTGCCTGTTGTTCATATACTTACTAACTCACCACCTGCTCAACACACCTTTGGCTGAAGAACAAGAATGGAAACTTTTTGAAATACTCTGTTTTAAGGCTGAAAGGTTTTTTTTGTGTTTAAAAAAACAAAACGCTAAAATAGATGGGTTCATTGTAATGAATATGTTATTTTAAAACAGTTCTTGCAAATAAAAAATAAAATAAAATTCAAGAGGAAAATTACCATACTATGTCTAGTTTTGTGTATTAGACATTTTGAATGTTTTTTAATATCAGAAAAAACCTTTGAAAATCAATTTAAAACCTAAATTCTGCAGGTTAACCATGCAGCTCCTAAACATCTCTGGCACACACTGCTTGAGTCAGGCAAGCTGCTTTGAAGTTTAACTTTTGTAAGCAAATAATTTACGTACATTGGAAGCATGTCACAAAGAATAGTTTGGACAGTCAGTGTTTTGATTGTTGAATCTAACTAATAATTATTGTTGGGATTAAAAAGTTAGAAGTTCTTTAGAAATCTTTAAATGTAGCTGATGAGACAGTGCTGTGTTGCAAGGACAAAAAGAATATTGCTATGGATTTTCATCCTAGGGCTCATAATTGCTGAAAGGGTTCAAGCGACCTGCAACGTTATTGACCAGTAAATGACCAGTAAATGAATTGAGTTCACAGTCCATGTGAACTTTTTATTATACATAAAAGGACTTCCTCTCTGATCTTTATCATCAAAGATACCATTTAGCAGTAAAAGCAAAGTTAAATAAATCAGCTGTAGTGGGAAATAGCTTTTCAGAAAGTAACTTCGAACTGTAAAGCTCTAAATTCACTAAAAAGTCCATGAAGAAACAAGTTTTTTCTTAAGAGTAGAGTACCTCAGATATAGTAGTATTACATCTGAAAATATTTGGGATCATTCCCTTTTTGGAGAAAGTCACAAATATATAAAATTTAAAATTATCATAGTTACAATTCTTACATTTCTGAGACCACAAAATCCAGAGCCTTTCTTGGTTAAAATTGGTGTATTTTTTAGAGGATTTTCCATTATTGGAGAATATTAAGATCATTAGTAATTCATAGTTTTTGGGTGGAATGTAGTTGTTTAAATCAATGAACTACATTTAGCTGTGTATACTTTGTCGTTTTACACATAATTTGTTTTTTGTGTAGAGTAACTGAAACATTGTATGTATGACAGTCAATTAAAACCTGTTTCATTTATGTTTATTTTGGCATTTGACATACAGTATAATGCATTTGCTTTGATATGTAAATAGCAGCTGAAATGTTTCATGTCAAGAAAGAGGGAAACTTTTGAATTGCTAGTGTTGATGGCTAAATTGAGGTTGCCACATCTGTGTTGTAATAGATGATGGAACTGGGCTCACTGTGATATTCTAACAGTTTGTGTAGTTAGTATAAATATTTGGCATCAAGAAGACAGATTTTTCTTAATCATTTAGTCTGCAGTTAGAAATGTTGTCCAATAGTCAATGAAAAGAAAAAGCTGCATTTTATTCTGAAGTTTCTCTCATAGTTTAAATATGTTTACTTTTTATCTTTATTTTGAAGTTTATGAAATTTAGTTTTCATGTAAAAGTTTTTAAAAGGCTTTGTGGTCTCAGGCTTCACATTTGAGTACTTCCTAGACTTGGGCAGTTGTCGTTGTCTTAATACACAAACCAACTGCAAGTTCAAGTCCAGTCCTGTGCTGTTGTGTGTATTTTTTTACATATAGCACGTTCTTTTTCAGCTTTTTAATAAGGATTTTAATGTCAATTGTTTTGTGTTCACTTAAAGAACTGGAAAAATACGTATGAGAATTTTAATTAGCCAGATTAAAAGCAAATTATTTAACGTTGTGTTTTATATGTATAGAATTGTCAGATATCTGTGTAGTTCACAGTAGCCTTATCTAATCTAAATTTTGGAGAAGTAATAAATAGTCAATATTATAGAAATTTTGTGACCAATATTAATGTTATGTATAATACAGGTATAGTGTTGCATGTATGTGCTTATAGGTGTGTGTTACAAGCCCTAGTAATTATCAAATATGTGAGTACATGAGTTGATAATTTTAGCTGTTTGTTACTGTGAAGTTTATCAATGCTTTCTGAAAGGATTTTGGAATAAGTTTACTTCAGTTGGAAGTAAGTTGTTTCCAAATTACTTCTAGGCACTGGAGACTTTGAAAATGTTTGAAAAAAAGGATAGCAGAGTAAAGAGTGCAGCTGCAACAAACCTTTCATTCCTTTATTATTTGGTAAGTGTTTGTTTCAACAAAACTAGATAAGAACTGCAGTTTATGTAGCAATTTCTGTATTTTTGTAACAATTTTTGTGTCTGTCTAAATAATCCCTGTCAATAAGAAGCTGCATGCTAGGGGAGTTAATCTGGAACACCAGTTCTTGGCTGTAGTTGAAGTTTGGATCAGGTCTTCTTGTATCCTGTTGCTGGGAAGAAGAGTGAGATTGAGCCCCAAGCCACAGAAGTGTGTCTGCGGTGGGATTTGTGCAGAAGCTCGGTGGCTCCATTTAAAACATGGGTCCTGGAGACCTAGGCTGAACTTTAGGAAGACCTGAACTACATAGCTTAGGCAGGTGTGTTTGTGTATGAAGTTTGTAGGGTATGGGTATTTTTTTTATTTATTTTTTTTAAATAAATGCTACTTTAAAAGAAAACTTCCAGACCGCGTTGGACACAATAGCAAGACACATCTCAAGTGTTAAGTTATCTGCAACTAGAAAGAGATGATCTACCTTATGCAAATATATAAGAAATATTTTGGGAATGAAGAATCTCTTTTTTTTTTAATCCTCAATCTTTTGTAATTCCTGTAAGAAGCCACAGCTGCAAGAAAATTAACTGACAAAGGGCTAATACAATGTTTGTTTTGTTCTTGTAGGGGAATGAATTGGCACAAGCAACTAACTATGCAGATTTAGCTGTAAATTCTGATAGGTATAATCCAGCAGCTCTAACTAACAAAGGAAATACTGTTTTTGCAAATGGAGACTATGAAAAAGCAGCCGAATTTTATAAGGAAGCTCTCAGGAATGATTCCTTATGCACTGAAGCACTTTATAACCTTGGTAAGTCATAGGTGCTTTTGTGATTTAGCTTTTATCTAAAGGTAACAGTTTTTCTGAGAATCTGTATTTCAGAGTGTTCTTATGTAGAAATATATGTGAATTATTATTACTTTATTGAGTAATTTATGTTATAACAAGGTATTAACTTGTACTTCCTGTCTGTTCTGCAAAAAAAATCCATGTGTTAAGAACATCGACTGGTAATTCCAGATGAATAAGTTACTTTGAAGATTAAGAAATTTATGCTACCTACTAAAAATATACCAGTTTTAGCATTATTAAACCCTCATTCCCCCATTCATCTTGTTCAAAAAGTGAGATTACACGTGTCCTTGCACTTTAATTGGGTTCACGTTCCTTGTGTTTATCAGTTTGGTAGGTCAAGCATGGCTCTCATGAAGAGTCTGTTAATGTCAAGGCAGTCATACTTCCTCCAAGTACCAATTTTGGTTTTCTTGTTATTCTGTCAGTTAATAGGCCAAAGTAGTCTTTTTCTCACTGCATTGAATCTGTAACCTTTATTTTTTTTAGGTTTAGCATACAAGAAGTTAAACAGGATAGACGAAGCTTTGGATTTTTTGCTGAAACTCCATGCAATCCTTCCAAATAGTGCTCAAGTCCTTTACCAGATAGCAAGCATGTATCTTTTTCTGGATTATGATAAGGGATGGTGGTTTTAGTAAACTCATTTAGTCTGAAGTATGTGTTTCAATCATGACAAGGTGACTTAGAAATTTACTGCGGTGTCCATTATAGTAAAGATGATTTGTTCTCTGATGTTTGTGAAAATGAGACCAGAACTTAAACCTGCTAGAACATTTCCAGTGAAGAAAGTGAAGAAATAAAGACTGCTCTCATTACAGGGAATGAGTGATTTACCCTCAGTGTTAAATTGTGTCCTGGAATATTTAAAATGCTGCTGATTTTATTATGAAAAAAATATGGCATATGTAAGCACAAGTAAGTAAAATTTATAAGAAAAAAAAATTATGGTTAATGAATATGATGTTCTCTTCTGAAAACTGTTTTCAGATTAGTTAGTGTATGTGTAAGAAAATAATTATCTCCCAATACTGCAAAAGCTCAACAAATTGAAAAGCTGAGGAAGGGAGGAATTGGCTTTGCACATCACCAGTGATATTCTACACTATGAATTTCTTTAACAATTCTTCTGAGGATGTGCAAACTGTAATAAAATCCTTCCCAAGGCAGAACAGATTTCAGTTGCTGTACTACACTTCTAAGAATGGTGTAGATAATAAAAATATATTTTAGTCAGTAAAATAAGTAACTTCCAAAAATACCAAAGGACTCTGATCTCTATTGCTTGTTGTATAACCCCTTTACAACAGCGTAAATGGCCCAACAACTCTCAGTTCCCATCTGGAGCAGAGCTTCTCTGCTCCACTGCTGTGTAAAACTGTTTTCCACCAATACTCACAAGCTTTTTCCATGGCAGGTAGGATGCAGCGGAAAGTGAAAAAACAGGTTGGGCAGTAGCTCCAGCTCACACTGCTGAGAGCTCTGAATCATTGTACCCCTCAGGGGTGACTGAGGAAGGAAGAGCACACTACAGGCTGAGTTACAGCTAATGCTGCCTCTCTGGACCAGAATCTGGCTTGTGCTTCTTAGACATACAGCAGAAAACCTCACTACTGGCAAAACTCTGTTGTTGGGAATAGCAGTTTTACCTTATCACTTACAGTAAAACAAAATGCTGTTAGTATGAAAAACTAACCAAGTTGTAAAGGCTACAAATCAGTGGCCCGGTTCTCACACTTCATTCTTATAAACATGGAAGTCAAAGTAAAATTAATGTCAGAGAGAGAGAGGAGAATTGAGCCCAACATGGTTTTAAGGTGAAAGAGCAGCTGAAGTCTCTGAATATTTTTTTCCTTTAGCGTAACAAAAAGACTTTCTAATGGAAATGAAATTATGAAAACAATATGAAAAAAAAGAAGACCAATGTATCTTCACGCTACAGTGACTAGTGTATCTGTTCAGCATATGGATTGCATTAGGTAAAGTAATAGGAATTCTGAGTAAATCAAACTACAATCAGCATCAGTCCTTGACTGAAGAAAACTCAGATACGAGATCATGGAAGATCCCAATCAAGCCATAGAGTGGCTCCTGCAGTTGATCAGTGTAGTACCAACTGATCCACATGTACTTTCAAAGCTAGGGAAATTATATGATAATGAAGGTGATAAATCCCAAGCTTTTCATTATTACTATGAGGTACTTGCTCTTATATTGCTTTTTCAGTACACTTTATAATAATTAAAGAAAATTTTACTGTAAGTTCGTATATCAAATTAACAGTTGATTGATTTAAACTTTTTAAAATGTCCTCCAGAAAGGAAGAAAAAAAGAGATACTGGGAGAGACAAAATCTAATTTCTGTAGTCAGAGCCTAAGGAAACACATAGCCTGTGGTTCCATGTGGAACATGGTTTCATGTTTCTTTATGTGGTCATTGTTTACACTGACCTGTAACAGTTTTATTTTAAAATATAGTCTGGGACAAAATAAAATCCGAATATAGCAAATTTAGTAAATATAGTAATTTTAAAAGGTGTGTGATGTGACTGAGTTGATTGGAGGCTGTGTCTGTATAATAGATATGGAGATACATATATAATGTGTTTATATATGTAAGTTTATATATATATGTTTTAACGGTAGAGCTATACATTATGTATACGTGGTTGCCGAAAGATATGCAGCCTCTTTAATTTCAAGCCAGCTGTACTACTATCTGTAGTTTGGAGAGATTCTTCTGTCTTAGAAAAAAGAATGATGGGAAATTGCTTTGTTGCAGTATGAGGGTTCTTTTATCTGTGAAGTAAGGATGACCAAAGGCTGTGTTGCAGTCTGAATTACTAGTTGAGTTGTGCTTGATAATAATTTTGCTGCCTATTTCAGTGGGAATTTCTAAAAAGCTGAAAATGTTATTTATGTACGTATGTATAGAAAAGAATGCTTTTAGTTGAGTTTTCCAGCAGACTGATGTGAATATGGAATTGTACACATATTAGTTAGCATTGTTTAATGTTTTAGGTAACTTACTCATATGTAGACATGAGCTAAGTAAATGTTTTTGTTGTTGCAAGCTATTTAAAATAGTATTTCAAATAAGGCTGGATGGAAAATGTGACAGACTCATCTCAGGTAACTTCTAAAAAGCATTCTGCAATTAGAAAACTTGGCATGCCTTTTTTTTTTTCTCCCAGGATCACTTAGTACAGCACACTACTTCTATTCATTTATATTACGCATTTTGGGCATCTGGAGAATTAAACACTTGAGTAAGATATTCCAGAAGTACCATAAAGATTTTGTTTATCACTAAAATTGTGGGGTTTTTCACCTTTCCTATTTTGTCAGTCATACCGGTATTTCCCTTCAAACATTGAGGTCATTGAATGGCTTGGAGCATATTATATTGACACCCAGTTTTGTGAAAAAGCCATTGAGTACTTTGAAAGAGCAGCACTTATCCTGTAAGTAGTTACTATTTTATGCCTACTCAGATTTGTGATTAGACATCCATAAGTATACCTAGAGATAAATCAGTTGGATAACTTTAATAATACTATAAGTGAACATCAGAATTAAGAGTATTTGGGATATTACTTAATTTTCTCAACTGTCTGTTCATTTACAGTGTGGTTTTGTTCTTACTGTGCAATTTCAGTGTTAAATAAGATCCTCCTTTGGGCCCAAAAAAGTATTAGGTATTAGACCCTCTTTTTCTCTGTTATCTGCCATTAAACACAGCTACAAAGTGGGCAATAGCTCTCCAAAGCCACCAAGACCTCTTTCTCCATGGCTTTATGTGAAATACTTCCTTTCTGTTGTTTCGTTATGCACTGATGATTTGGTGGTTCAGATAAATGCATGTTTTAGCTGTTCTTGCTGCATTTCCACTTTTAGCATCACTCCTACTTCCATGAAAAAGCTATTACAAATAAGGTATATAAGTAAGCAAAATAGTGCAGTGCAGAACTGCCGGAGGTCAGTGAAAATAAGTTTACGGATTAAATCGATCCTGATAGAGATGTTTGAAATATACTGAGTTCAGTTCAGCAACTTAATGGCTAAAATTGTTCATTAGCAGAACGTGATGCACTTCAGAAAGTATATAGGCTATATACTTTATTTTACTTCAGAAAGGGAGCTTACCAGAGAATGGTTAATAAATAAAATTTGGTCAAATTTAAATCTGTAATCCAGAGTTCAAAGATAATTCTAAAAAGACATGCATATGGTCCTTTTATGTGGAATTCGTGAAGCATTTTGTGTTAATAGACCAATTCATGCAACTGAAATTCACTTGAATAAGTGTGAATTTCTCTATTTTGTGTTTTAGGAAACCTACCAAAAATCATACTAAACAAAACTCTCTTGTTTCTTGTCTTGTGATGATCTAAAATTTTGCATTCTTTTTGTTCTGGGAGTCTGAATGGGCATGCATGTACAAAGACAGCATGTGAACAAAAAGTTTGTGCAGTATTATTCAAGGAAAAATTATACTGCAAATAGGTTGTCAGAAATTCAGTAAAAAATACTAATTCTGGCTTTGAGACACTTGAGTTGGAATGGGCATTACTTGTAGAAGAGAAAATCCAAGGTTTAAATAAGGATTAAAAATGAAAAAAAAATAATAAAAAGATATAGACTTCACCCAAATGGTGTTATAATTATAAAGAAATAGAGGTGTAGATAAGATAAAAATACCCAGTTCACAGGTTTGCCAGTGTTCTTTTCCCTATAAATACTGGCCATCTTAAAAAATTATATTTTAGTCAAGCTATGAGATTGCAAATACTGGTGTTCATGGCCTTCTTAGAAAATTTGGAAAGAAACAGATGAAACTAAAAAGAATTATTTCATAATCTTGTTTTGGCAAAGATATAAAGATTTTGTGCTTCTTATCTCACTCAGTCCATGCATGAAGCATGAAGCGTATGGATTGTAAAGTACTTAACGAATAATTGGCATATGAAATTCTTCATTGTTATTTGAAATTGTAATCTATCTGTAATAGAGAGAAATTATTTCTCTGTGGGAGGAGATTTTTAACAGTAGATAATAGTGCATAAATATTTTGGTGCTTATTTGGTACTAGAAATAGAGCCTAGGTATGCTAAATGGTAAATATGTATGTAAATATAAATTGCTACTGATTTTAAATAGTTACATTTTAAAATTATTTTCACTGTGAACAGCATTTTTTAGTTTAACAATTTTTAGTTTGTTTAGTGCATTCAGTATTTTAATCACAATAACTACATTTTAAATTGCATTTTAAGATAACATGTTAGACAATGAACTGGGCAACGGCTTCCATTATTTTATTTTTACCAGCATGCACAAATCTATCGTTAATAAAAGGAGTTGTGCAGTTAATGCTTACTGCTGACAATTTCTTCTCTCTAGAATTTTCATACTGAACTATGTAATAAACTTTATTTTGGTTTCTGCTTGACTGCCTTTGTTTGCAGGAGACACGTTCAGCTGAAACTAAAAAGGTGCAGCATCTGTATTTCATGAGCTTTTTTGGCAACTACCAGGCAGAGAGATTATTTAGAGTTAAAAATGGCCTGTGCTAGGATTAGAAGGAAAAATTGAAGAGAATAAGTACAAAACTATTCTGAAAATGTTGTCTTACAGTACCTTTTGCATATGCTACTATTGAATTGTAAGCCACATGTGGAAAGTGCTTTGGCTTATAGAGGATCTTGACACTATTGACATGAAAATTTCCTAGTTTTCACATTAATTTGAGAAGAATGAGGAAGGAGTCCCACTGTTCTATTGTACATGCTGAAACATCTCAAATGTTTTCTCTGACATACCTGTCACCATTATGTGCTAAAAAGAGAAGGAGCATATAGGCAGCAGCTAGATGCTGCGATGGCATCTTAGGCAAAAAGGAGAAACCAGAGGTTGAAGCTGTGAGTGGGGAGTGTGCTTCCTGGCAGGGATCTCTTGGGCATGCACGGGATCCTAGTGGTAGGGCCTCCTCAAAATACAGTTTAGCATTTTGTTCTTCCCCACTGCATGGTTCTGTAACTCTGACAAAGATTAGTGGTTCACCTGTCTGGTCTACTAATTGTGTCTGGGCACAGAATCACGAGCAGGAGGAAGGCTATAAGATACGACTGAAAATGAGTGACATCAAGGCCTGAAAACAGGTGCATGATGCAGGGGTAAACTGTGTGTGAATTGAGCTGGATAAATTCTTTCTAGGAAGGCAATAGACTAGGTGAAAAATTTATTAGTAGTTTAATAGTAGGTCTTTAGCAGTGCTATGCAGATTATTTTGCTTATTCATTCTTTGGCAAATGTGCATGACTTTATTTTATTTATATGCAGGCCGACACAAGTGAAGTGGCAGCTGATGGTTGCAAGTTGCTACAGGAGAAGCGGTAAGTTCTGTAACTTTTTGGTAACTGGTTGGAGGTTTGTAACATTTTTTTTGTAATCCATGGAGGTTGTTCAGACTAGACAATATATGAAGGGAGCATATAGAAAACATGGAGATAAACTGGTGTCTGCAGTTCCAGGGCAAGGAGCAACGGTTTTAAACTGAAAGAGGGTAGACTTACACTGCATATAAGGAAGAAATTCTTTACTGTGAGGATAGTGAGACACTGGAACAGGCTGTCCAGAGAAGCTGTGGATGCTCCATCAAGGCCAGATTAGATGGGGCTTGGAGCAACTTGGTCTAGAGGAAGGTGTCCCTGCCCGTGGCAGGGGGGTTGGAACTAGATGATCTTCAAAAGTCCCTTCCAAACCAAACCATTTTATGATTCTGTTTGTTTTGTTTTGATTATGTTTTGACTTTTTTCTTTTGATCTTTTCTGACTGATGTGATATTGGTGCTAAAGTTTGTGTGAACACTCAGTTATGTATTATTTTGTTATAAATTTTCTCTTTATATGTAATAAAACATGAAGTTTCTTTTAAGTCCAGGAAGTGTGCCTGCACTGACTTATATGTGAAACATTCCTTGTGCTCTTAAATAAATAAAGAAAATAGTACAGCATACATGATCTGATGGAAGGTTTTTGGAATGTAATTATACTACCAACTGATCCAACATAAACAGTTAGTTTTTCAAGTTGCTTAATTCCCCTTTCTTTTCAACAGCAGGTATAATTTTTCAATATTAAAATAGTATTTGCACTACACAAGCAGAAGAGAGTCTTAATGTGCTGTATTTCCATACTGGAAATAGAATATACTGATAAGCAAAATTAAAAGAGACTAACCTTTTTGGGGTTTTTCACCACCTAAAATGCATTCATGATACTTGATGATGTAAATTATACTCTTCTTTCTTCCTGTTCCATCTTGTCCCTCTTCTTTATGCTTCTTTAGAACTTCGCAGAACAGTCTTCCTTAATAAATAAGTGCATTTTCTCACTTAGCTCAGTTATTTAATACAACAGTGAGAAAAGGAACAGGACCTGGGGAAGCCAGTGTATTAAGAATAATCAGCACCACCTAAAACTAGACAGATGAAACATTTTCCCAGCAAAGAAAAACAGTGGGCTTGGCTGCTTCTTAGATCGTTTATGGTTCATTGGCAAAATTCACGGTTTATCGTGTTAACACATAGCACATCAGTTTGATCTCTACCTTGCACCAGGAAGAGAAAAACAGTGATATCTCAAGAAACCTTTTTTGTCAAGTATTTCATGGATATGATATTTTAGATTTACAGGGTCAGTCAGTCCTTTCCATAATCAATCTGAGTCAAAATTGAAGGCAAAAGACTTAAGGAATAATTACTTTACTACCAGATCTGGGCAAAGGAGAGCCACACAATTTGTATTTTGATGTCAGGAAGAACAGGCAGAGCTCTGCTGTTAGATGTTTCCATTTGACCAATCCATACATTTGCAGTCCCAGATAAGTCCTATTAGGCTTGATACAGCTCATCTAGTAGTTGTGTTGTAGAAATAGAGTATTAGAGGAAGGTAAAAAAAAAAGGCAAAAATCAGGAAACTGCTCTTCGTTAATTCTGTTATTTACAGAGTAATTTGGACTGTTTTCAGATGCTCTTAATTTTTACTGTTAAAGTAAATTACTATTAAATTACATAATTAAAGTTCGGTCTCACCAAATTTGGTCTTATAATATTGAATTATTTACTCTAACTAAAAAGAGGCATTGATGTTAAAGTGTATCAATTTCACATCAGATGTGAAATTTTTATGTTTGACTGTGTGGATAGGAGATGTTTGTTTTATTTGCAGGTAACTACCAGAAAGCTCTAGAGAAATACAAAGTCATTCACAGAAAATTCCCAGAGAATGTTGAATGTAAGTTGTTTAATTCTGTGGTACAACTATCAAAGGAAACTTTGTTACATTGAATATGTGTGCTAGTAATCATATGACGTGTTTTTCATATGAAAATATTTTTATGCACTAACATTTTTATTCATGCTAATGCTGCATGTTTTCTGTGACAACACTAAAGTGTGATTTAAGAAATATTAGGTCAATGCTGAAGAAGAGTGATGAAAATAAACTTAGTTATAACTGAGTCGGATTGGTTGAGTTCTTTCTCATACATACCTATGTTACTTATTAGATATTTCTTGTGATAAAATATATGTATTTGTACTTCTAGTTCCTGCTATTTGAAATTCCTGCTGTAAGTTTCTAGATATGAGAAAATCATATTGCTAAGTTTTACCAAAGCCAAGCTTTCCAAAAAAATGTAGAGGGTGAGATTTTTTGCTGGGTTTTTAAGTATAGTTGGTCAACCAGTCTCTGGAAATCTTTGAAGAGTAAGACATTTTGCAAAATCAGTCACACCTGTACACTAAAGAAAAAAGCCATGTAGAAAATTGGGGTTGTCAGTGGTTGTGAAAACATTCTCTGACATCCCACACTCTGCCTCACAAATTCCAAAATAAGAAGTTGTCGCCAACAAGTCTATGCTTTTAAATGCAACGTGGGAAGAATATTAATTCAATTTTATTTTAAAATTGTATCATTCTGCTTTAACAAATGTATTGCTTTTTTAAAGAGGAATCACACAGCTCTCTTGTACAACTGAAGTTCAGTGCTATTAACTCCTCAAAGTTATAAGCAAAATATGGTGTTCATATTGGTAACGCATATTTTGGAGGGGTATTTAGTAAACCTTTTAGAGTGCAAATATGTTTCTGAATGTAGTTTCTACAAATTACACAAATGGAAGCAGAAGTTAGACAAGACAATTTAACTGATTTAAGTTTTCTGCTGCTGAAAAAGTCGTTCTTCACTCATCCCTCCCTGAC